ATACAGACACATATGTAGAAATATCCTCGGCGAAACTTATTTGTGTGTGTACTCCCACTCCTGTTCAGCTTGAGGGGCTAACTATGTATCTATTTGTTGTTGTTGTTGTTGCTGTTAGTGCCGTTGATTGGGCTCCAACTCATAGGGACCCTATGTACAAGGAACCAAACATTGCCCGTTCCTGTGCCAGCCTCACAATCCTTGCTATACGTGAGCCCGTCGTTGCAGCCACTGTGTCAATCCATCTCGTTGAGGGCCTTCCCCTTTTTCGTTGACTCTCCACTTTACCAAGCATGATATCCTTCTCCAGAGAATGGTCCCTTCTGACAACAAGACCAAAGTAGGTGAGACAAAGTCTGGCCACTCTTGCTTCCAAGGAGCATTCCAGCTGCACTTCTTCCAGGACGGATTCGTTAGTCCTTTTAGCAGTCCACGGTACTTTCAGCATTCTTCGCTAACACCACAACTCAAATGCATCAACTCTTCTTTGGTCTTCTTTATTCATTGTCCAGCTCTCACACACATATGAGGCGACTGAAAATACCATGACTTGTGTCAGGCACACCTTAGTCTCTTCAAAGAGACATCTTTGCTCTTCAGCACTTGAAAGAGGTCTTTTGCAGCAAATTTGCCTAGTGCAATGCATCATCTGATGTCTTGACTACTGCTTCCATGGGTGTTGATTGTTCAACCAAATAATATGAAATCTTTGACAACTTCAATCTTTTCTCTATTTATCGTGATGCTGCTTATTGGGCCAGTGGTGAGGATTTTTGTTTTCTTTATGTTGAGATGCAATCCATACTGCAGACTGAAGTCTTTAATCATCATCAGTAAATGTTTCCCGTCATCCTCACTTGCAGCAAGCAAAGTTGTGTCATCTGCATATCACAGGTTGTTAATGAGTCTTCCTCCAATCCTGATGCCATGCTCTTCTTTATACAGTCAGCTTCTCGGATTATTTGCTCAGCATTTAGATTGAGTAAGTATGGTGAAAGGATACAACCCTGAGGCACTCCCTTCCTGATTTTAAACCATTCAGTCTCCCCTTGTTCTGTTCGAACGACAGCCTCTTGGTCATGCATAGGTTCCTCATGAGCACAATCAAGTGTTCTGAAATTCCCACTCTTCTCAATGTTATCCATAATTTGTTATGATCCACACAATCAAATGCTTTGTCATAGTCAATAAAGCACAAGTAAACATCTTTCTGGTATTCTTTGCTTTCAGCCAAGATTAATCTAACATCAGCAATGATATCCCTCGTTCCACACCCTCCTCTGAAACCAGTTTGCATTTCTGTAAGTTCTCTGTCAATATACTGTGATGGTGTTTTTAAATTATCTTCAACAAGACTTTACTTGTGTGTGATATTATTAATTTGAAAATTTCCACATTCTGTTGGATCACCTGTCTTTGGAATGGGTACAAATATGGATCTCTTCCAGTCAGTCGGCCAGGTAGCAGTCTTCCAAATATTTTGGCATAGACAAGTGAGTGCCTCCAGGACACGTTTTTACTGAAACACCTTAATAGGTATTCTGTCGATTCCTGGAGCCTTGTTCTTCTCCAATTCCTTCAGTGCAGCTTTGACTTCTTTCTTCAATACCATTGGTTTTTGATCACATGCAACCTCCTGAAACGGATGAACATCAACCAACTCCTTTTGATACAGTGACTGTGTATTCCTTCCATCTTCTTTTGATGTTTCCTGCATCATTCAATATTTCACCCACCAAATCTTTGAATATTGCAACTCAAGGCTTAATTTTTTTCCTCAGTTCTCTCAGCTTGAGAAATGCCAAGCGTGTTCTTCCCTTTTGGTTTTCTAACCCAGGTCTTTGCACATTTCATTATAATAATTGACTTTGTCTTCTCAAGCTGCTCTTTGAAAACTTCTGTTTAGCTCTTTTATCTTGTTGATTCTTCCATTTGCTTTAGCTACTCTCCATTCAAGGGCAAGTTTCAGAGTCTCTTTTGACATCCATTTTGGTCTTTTCTTCCCTTCCTGCCTTTTTAATGACTTTTTGCTTTCTTCATGGATGATGTTCTTGATGTCATCCCACAATTCCTCTGGTTTTCGGTCATTGGTGTTTGATGCATCAAATCTATTCTTCAGACAGTCTCTAAATTCAGGGGGGATATAATCAAGGTCATATTTTGGCTCTCAGGGACTTGTTCTAATTGTCTTCAGCTTCAACTTGAATTTACCCATGAGCAGTTGATGGTCTGTTCCACAATCAGCTCCTGGCCTGGTTTTGGCTGAAGATATTGAGCTTTTCCATCACCTCTTGCCACAGATATAGTTGATCTGATTCCTGTGTACTCCATCTGGTGAAGACCATATGTACAGCTGCCATTTATGTTACTGAAAGAAGGTATCTGCAATGAATAAGTTGTTGGTCTTGCAAAATTCTATCATGTGGTGTACAGTGTTATTTCTATCACCGAGGCCATATTTTCCAGCTACTGGTGACTCTTCTTTGTTTCCAACTTTTGCATTCTAATCACCAGTGATAATCAACACATCTTCATTGCATGTTTGGTCAATTTCAGACTGCAGAAGTTGGTAAAAATCTTCAATTTCCTAAACTTTGGCTTTGGTGGTTGGTGTGTAAATTTGAATAATGACAGTATTAACTGGTCTTCCTTGTAGGTGTATGGATATTTTACTATCACTGACAGCACTGTACTCAGGACAGATCTTGAAACACTCTTTGTGACAATGAATGCCATGCCATTCCTCTTCAATTTGTCATTCTGGCATAGTAAATCATGATTTTCTGTTTCCGAATGACCAAAATCAGTCCATTTCAGCTCACTAACACCTAGGATATGATCTTTATGAGTTCTATTTCATCATTTCTGACAACTTCCAATTTTCCTCAATTCATACTGCATATATTCCATGTACCGATTATTAATGGATGTTCACAGCTGTTTCTTCTCATTTTGAGTCGTGTCACCTCAGCAAATGGAAGTCCCGAAAGCTTTGCTCCATCCACATCATTAAGGTTGGCTCTACTCTGAGGCAGCAGCTCCTCCCCAGTCCTATCTTGAGTGCCTTCTGATCTGAGGGCCTCATCTTCTGCCACTATATCAGTGTTCCAGGGCTATCCATAAAGTTTTCCAGTAATGTATCAGTGTTTCACTGCTATTCATCAGGTTTTCACTGGCCAATTCTTTGAGAAGTGGATGATGGCCCCTGCCTTCTTCCGAGTCTGTCTTAGTCTGGAAAACTCCGCTGAAACCTGTCCACCATGGGTAACCCTGCTGCCATCTGAAATACTGATGGCATGGCCTCCAGCCTCAGCGTAACTCTTAAGCCACCACAGGATGACAAACCGACCCACGAGTGGTAGGTATCCATTCATAGGTGATGATGACGATGACGGCTGGATTGTGTATCTAACAATATTTACCTTTGTTGCCTTTAACTCTCGCGTTCCTCCCAGGGTCTTTCTCTGCATTAATCATTTTGTAATGACCTCCTGCTTGGTGTACATTGCCTTTGCCTTCATCCAAACTAATACATGTCTACCCTCTAGTCAGTGATTTACCCTCCCTTCTCCTCCCATACGAGCTCTGGTACCGCAGTGGTTAAAGCATTCAGCTGCTAACCAAAAGATTGGCAGTTCGAACCCATGAGCCACTCCCCAGGAGAAAGATAAGGTAGTTGGCTTCTGTAAAGATTTCCATCTTTGGAAACCCTATAGGGCAGTTCTACTCTGACCTGTAGGGTCACTGTGAGATGGAATTGACTTGATGGCAGTGGGTTTTGGGATTGCCCTCCCATCCCTAGTAACCTTCAAAGAATAATTCTGTGTGTAAACCTTTTCTTGACTTTTTACAATGTTTGCCCCTTTGGGACTGACTAATTTCACTCAGCATAATGTCTTCTAAGGGAGCTCTGGTGGTATAGTACCTAAAGCATTTGACTGCTAACCAGAAAGTTGGCAGTTCAAACTCACCAGCCACCCCATGGAAGGAAGACAGGGCCATCTATTTCTGTAAAGATTAATTGCCTAGGAAACCCAAGGGGGGTCGCTATGAGTCAGAATCAACTCAATGGCAGTGAGTTTATTTATTTAAATGTCCTCTAGGTTCATCCATGTTTTGTCTCACAAATTCATCATTATTCTTTAACATTGCATTATATTCCACCATGTGTATGTACCATAATTTATCCAGTCATCAGTTGACAGGCAGTTAGGGTGTTCCCATCTTTTTGCTATTGTGAATAAAGCTGTGATGAACATGGATGCATGTATTTGTTTGTGTCACGGCTCTTAGTTCTTTCTCTAGGATACATACCTCGTAGTGGGATTGCTGGATCATATATTTCCCATTTCCAACTTTTTAAGGAAGTGCCATACCATTTTCCACAGTGGTTGGACCACATCACAGTGCCACTAGCAGTGTGTGAGGGTTCCAGTCTCTCCACACCCTCGCCAACATTTGTTGTTTGGAACTTGCTATTACTGCTGGGTTGAGAAGAGATCTCACTGTTTTGATTTGCATCTAATGGCTAATGATGGCAAGCATTTCTTCATGTGTTAGCCGCCTGAATGTCTTCTTTGCTAAAGAAGAGAGATGTGTTGTCTGACCAAGAGCCTACAGGTATTTCCTCCGAAGCTACACTTTTCACTGTCATTGCCAAACACTTTGTTATGCCATCAAATACCCTAACAAAATCTTGAAGACTCACAGTAATTGTCTTTGGTTTCTTTAAGCGGTACTGATGGACACCTGGTTTTCAACTTGTGACTGACAGAAGCTAAGTGCTGGGTGGAATGTGGTCAGGGGTCTCCCTTCCGGCGGCAGCAGACTAGCCCCAGGAGAAAAGAGGGCCCTGGTTCCAGGATCCGAGGGAGCGGGGCGCTCCGGCTTTGTGACGTCACCCCTAAGCCCCGCCCCTCTGGCGCAGCCAATCACAGCGCGGGCCCATGACCACTCAGCCCAGCCAGACTCCAGCTAGCGCGGCCGGGGGGCGGGCTGCGATGGACCCGCGCGCGGGTTCAGTCTTGCCCCGCGCCCAGGCTCGGGCCCGGCCGTCGCCTCGGGAGGCGCGGCCGCCGGCGAGCTTCGAGGACGAGCTCTACGACTGCCTGGACTACTTCTACCTGCGCGACTTCCCGGCCTGCGGGGCTGGGCGCAGCAAAGGCCGAACGCGGCGCGAGCGCGAGCTGCGCACCAACCGGCAGGTGCCCGGCGGCCACGAGCGCAAGATCGCGCAGAAGCTCCTCAACGGCCAGCGCAAGCGGCGCCAGCGCCAGCTGCAGACCCGGCCGCGCACTCGCCTCGCCTGAGCGCCGGTGCGTGCGGCCGCCTCCCGGCCCGGAGCAGGACCGACCGCGTGGGACGGACCCCAGATCATCCCCTTCAGAGTCTAAGCCTCGTTCTTGGCTCCCAGCCTAGCCACCGACTGCAGGTGAAGACTTTGTGTGTAAGTCCCCGGCTGGTGCAAACGGTTTATGTTGGACTGCTACCCGCGGAACAAAGACCTGGTAGTCTGCTTCCCTTACAATTACTGTTTGCTTTCTAGTAGATTTCGACTCACAGGGACCCTATAGGACAAAAAAAGAACCGCAGCACGTAATTTTTTAGGCTGTAGATCTTTACAGGAGACACATCACCAGGTCTTTCGTACCCTGCAGCAGCTGGTGGGTTCAAATTGGCGACCTTTTGGTGGGCAGGTGAGCGCTTTAACCAGTGCGCCACAGGGCTCCTCCCATTAAGACTACAGCCAAGAAAACCCTATGAAGCAGCTCTACTCTGCAACAATGGGCTTGCCGTGAGTTGGGATCCACTCAAGGGCAACTGACAACATTGGGGCAGAGTTGGGGCTAGAAAACATCTCTTCAAACTGGAAGTGAGGTCCTTCCAGTGCTCGCCCTCAGACTTCTTACTGTTTTGGTCTCTTTTCTACAGGATACCTGAAGGCCCTGGTCAAAGTATTTTCCCTGACTCCAGCTGCAACTGTGGTCCTGGCGGGGACTGACTCCATGTTGGTTGACAAAACTTCCTTTCGACATGGCTTATGCACTACCTTCCCCTCTTCATGGATCGTTAATTAACTAGTGTGTATGCCTTTTAGGGTTTTTAAGTAAAGGACAGCAGCAGGAACGCCATCTTCACTCTTGTGTTTTTGTCGGTTACTACGGTAACTCGTTTCAAGTCCACAGACACTTGTGCGCAAAGAAGACGTCACAAGGAGGAATAAGGCACCATCCTTGCTGTAACCAATGTTCTTATCTAGTTGGGGGGAGGAAGATGGGAACCCAGGTGTCACAGACTACTGTACGAGTATACTACTCGTGTACCAGAATGGGAATATTTTAAATGACAACAGGTGCTACATTTTCTGCACTGTTGATCCTCTTAACAGTCTTTCATGGCCAAATGGGATTCTGAGGCACAGAGAGTTCCAGTTAACTTTCCAGAGGTCACACAGCTAATGGACCAGGTCTGACCCCAGCACTTGTGCTCATGACCTCAACACTTCTTGTTCAGCGCAGCAGTCACTGGGAGGTGCCTACAGTTAAAGTGATGGGCTGCTGGCGGTTTGAGCCCACCGAAGGGCATCTTGGAAGACAGGCCTGACTGTCTATTCTGAAAAATCAGGCAGCGTGGAGCACAGTTCCCCTCTGACACATACGGGATCACCATCAGCTGGAAGTCAACTCAGGCAGCGTGGAGCACAGTTCCCCTCTGACACATAGGGTCGTCATGAGCTGGAAGTCAACTCGGCAGCAACTTGTCTTTTAATCGGATAGGATAAGAAGCCTTGATTCTTTGTGTTGTCCCGGACAGCCTCTATTGGGTTTTCTTAAATTTGTTTCCCACGCCTGGGTCTGTGATGCAGGTCTCCTGGCCCTAGTCTCACCATATTCAGCGCTACCTCTTGGTTGGAATCTGTGTTGTCACATCTAGCGTGCCCTGTTCCCCTTTACGAGTCTAATCCTTCTGAAACTACTTCCAGTTACACTGTTCATTTAAGGGTCACCTTCTTCCTGAGCCTCCATCTGCACTGACTGTCCACTCCTTTGAAGTCCTAGAGAACTTCAGCAATTTCATCACTTGTTAAAGGAGCTTTGATGGCGCAGTGGGTAAGAGCTCAGCTGCCAACTATAAAGGTCGGTTCAAGCCCACAGCCTTCCATGGGAGAAAGATGTGGCAGTCTGCTTCTATAAAGAGTACTGCCTTGAAAATTCTTCAGGGCATTTCTACTCTGAGTTGACAGCAACGGATTTGGTTTTGGTTTTTAACTCCTTGTTCATATAGTTATTTTGTACTTTTAGATCAACACATTGGTTTGTTGTTTGTCTGATACGTGCATGGCACTGTATTCACCTAAGTCTGTCTTTGTTATCCATTTAGATTATAGGGACCGTAAGGTCTTAAACATCTCAGCCCTCCCATGACACCTGCTGTAAAATTGCAGTCTACCTGGCTGGACATAAGTCATGGTAAATCAGCCACATGGAAGGTGTGCTGGTGGTCCGCATACTAGATTTGGCTCATGTTGCATACCAGGATTTCTGAATTTGAATTATTTCATCATAGTTATGGTCACTGGGCAATCTACTTCTGTAGTGCTAACATCTCGGAAACCCAAGGAGGGGTTGCTATGAGTCAGATCTGACTCGACAGCAGTGAGTTTGGTTTTTTGGTTTGGTAGAAAGTGAGTGCTACGTAACAAGTTACCGGAAACTCAGTGGCATAAAAGCACCAACATCACCTCACAGTTTCTGTGGGTTGGAAACTCAGGAGTGCCCTACCTGGATGCTCTGGCACAGGATGCCTCATGAGGTTGCCGTCAGGCTGTTGGCCGGGCTACAGTCAGCTGAAGGCTTGACGGGGGCTGGAGAGGTCTTCCAAGTGGGCTCCATCATTGGCTATGGGCAGGAGGCCTCAGCTCCTTGTTGCCCGCACTTTTCCATAGGCTGCCTGAGTGCCCTCGTGATGTGGCAGCTGGCTTTCCCCAGAGAGAATGGTGAGAGAGGGAAAAGGAAAGCAAGGAAGACACCATGCCTTTTATGACCCTGTAATTCCTGCCATTTTCTGTCTGTTATAAGTAAATCACTAAATCCAGCCCACGCCCAAGGGGAGCAGAATTAGACCCCAGCTTTTCAAGGTGGTAGTTGTTAGCTGCCATCAATGGGAGTGCCAAAGAACTTGTGGACATACTTTAAACCACCATCCAAAAAACCAAACTCAATGCCATTGAGTCGATTCCGACTCACAGCCACCCCCACTGGGTCTCTGAGGTGGTGAATCTTTACAGAAGTAGATTGCCCCATCTTCCTTCCACAGAGGTTCGAACTGCTGACCTTCTGATTGGCAGTCAAATGCCTCAGGCACTGTGCCACCAGAGCTCCTTTCCAACTCATAGTGACTCCTCCTTGGGTTTCCAAGGTGGTATCGCTACAGAAGTAGATTGCCCAGTCTTCCTTCCTGGGAGTGGCTGGTGGGTTTGAACCACCAGCCTTCTGGTTAGCAGTCAAATGCCTTAGGCACTAGGCCACTAGAACTCCCCCTTAAACCACCACAGTATATTTCAATGTGTTCCCTGTAGAAAAATTGGAAAATATGGACAAGCAAAAAAAAATATATATATATATTTGTAATTCTATTACCCAATAATTCTGTTACTACTTGAGCGTATATGACTCCAGGCTTTAAAATACAGGAATTTCTTCAAAATAAACATACAGTGCAGAGTATTTTGCAACCTTTCATTTAATACACTGTAAAGATATTTTTCATGTCAAATGTTCCTAATGTTTTTAATGGCTGCAAAGCATTCTACCATATGTGCGTATCTTATTTAACTAGTTCTATAGAGTAGGACCTTGGAATGAAGTTGGGCAATCTACTTTCATAGTGATACTGCCTCGGAAACCCAAGGAGGGGTCGCTATGAGTCGGATGCGACTCGCTGGCAGTGAGTATTTTGTTGTTGTTTATATAGTAGGACATTTAGGTTTATGGGTTTTCCCTATTTTCTGTATTTCATTCAATGAACAGTCTTATAACTAATTCCTTTCTACATTCATGATTGTTTCTTACATTTCTAGAAGTGGAATTTCTGGAACAGGGCTTGCACAATTTTAAAATTTTTGATGCCGAGAGCCTAATCTGAGCAAGCGTTTTTCACTGAAATCATTGAGTCCATTCAGAGAAATGTCTTAACTGTAACAAGGCCTGTGAGAGGTCTTTGTTGAAATTTTGATATCGTAAACGAATTTGTTGAGAATGACTGAATTCATCATGGAATGTGAAGTCGTTACGTAAACTGCACTGAGGCATGAACTGTATGTAGCACATCTACCCCAGCAAACTACAGATGCTATGGAGCAGATTCTGGCAGTTATTTTCAATTCTCGTTTTTCTTGTTGTTTTTCTTACTTTTAATTAACTTTTCACATATTCTTGTTTTTTGAATAGCGGTAATACATTAATGGTTTCAAACTCCAAAAGATGCAAAATGTTATACAATGAAAAGTCTCAACCCTGTGGCATAGCCACCTACATCCACTGTCTGAAGACAATGACGTTTTATCTGCTACAGATACTTTATGCATATACATGGCCTCTTCTCTCCATTCTACAAAAAGAATAGCCCACTATATTCAATTCAACCTCTTGCTTTTGTCTCCTGATAGTTTATCTTGTAAATCTTATCAATATATAAAGAAGTGTCCTTATCTCTTTCTCTGTATCACATGAATATACCATAATGTATTATACCAGTAGTTTACTGACAGGGATTTATATTGTTTCCAATCTTTTACTATCACAAAATAACCTTGTACATACATCTCCTAGTACATACATCTCCTAGTCCCTCTTCAATCCAGGAATTAGTGATTTAGCCACGTAGGATTAATTTAAAGAACAGACTTTATTCTGGTCTGGATTCCTTTCCTTCTTAAAACTGTCCAGTTTTGCTCACTCTAAGGCTCCTCTTCCCAGTCTCTGCTTATGAATGGGCAATCTACTTCCATAGTGATACCACCTTTTAGGCAAGTACAAAATCTTACTATTTTTGTAACTTTAATTTCTCTAAAAGTTATTTTTGAAAGTAATTTTTTGCTTTTCATAGGTTTTTACATGTCTTTTCTCTCTGTTCCATGAACATTCTGCTGATTCTGGGACATGGGGGTGCTGTTTGAAATGCTGCTACCTCTGGTGGAAGGGGAAATTTCTGATTGCCGGCCAAGCAGAAATGGGCATTCTACCTCTGCTTCCTCTTTTCCATAAATCACACCCCACCTCCCTAAGACTTTCCCTGAAGCCCCTGTGAAATGCCACTAACCAAGCTTTCTCCTACTGCTGCTGCTGTTGCTATAGTGCTGTCAAATCATCTCCGACTCATAGCGACCTTATGTACAACAGAACGAAACACTGCCTGGTCCTGTGCCAGCCTCATGATCCCTGCTATACCTAAGTCTATCGTTGCAGTCACCATGTCGATCCATCTCGTTGAGGGCCTTCCTTTCTTTCATAGATTTTGTACTCATCTAAAAGGTGGTATCACCACGGAAGTAGATTGCCCATTCACAAGCAGAGACTGGGAAAAGGAGCCTTATAAAAGACACATCCTGGCACAAGACACACTTAAGAGTGAGCAAAACTGGACAGCTCAAGAAGGAAAGGAATCCAGACCGGAACAGTCAGTTCTTTAAATCAATCCTACTTGGCTAAATCACTAATTCCTGGATTGAAGAGGGACTAGGAGATGTATGTACAAGGTTATTTTGTGATAGTAAAAGATTCTTTCCCTTGCTAAAGACAACGCTTGTTTCTGCTCTTCAAAGACTATGTTCAAATGTCCTGTCCAACCATTTACCTCCGTATCACCTTTGCCCTGCTTTTTCATCACGACACCACCTAATTTATGTAGGCATTTGTCTGTCCCCCTTCTGTGAAATTTAATTTTCTATGAAGGTAATGGGGGAGCTCAGGTGGCATAATGCTTAAGGCATGTGACTGCTAACCACAAGGTTGACAGTTCAAACCCACCAGCCACTCCTCCAAAGGAAGGTTGGGCAATCTACTTCCATAGTGACACCGCCTCTCGGGAAATCCAAGGAGGGGTCGCTATGAGTCGGATCCGACTCGACCGCAGTGAGTTTGGTGTAGTTTTTTGGTATGAAGGTAGGAGAGTGTTTTGTTTAATGCTGTATCTCTAGAACCTAGTTAGCACTTGGCAGGCCACTCGAAAATATTCTGTTGAATTATCGATGAGTGAATACTATCCCAATTCAGGGCACAAATTACATATATGAAAGGGGTTGATAATAGACAGTAATACGTAAATGCAACGTATTACTGTCTGAATTTAACTTTTGTTGACTGCATCCGTACACATGAAAGAGAAATGTAAAGCGAACCAACTCAACTGTCAATCCCTGCCTAAAGTTTTCACAATTTAAAATTCGTTTCATAGTTATTACGCAACCACATCGTGCAGCAAAAAAAAAAAAAAAAAAACTATCTCAAATTAGACTGAGAAAGGTTAAATAACTAGAGTAAGGTCCAGTCACAGTTAAGTCAGAGATCTGACTCATGCTCAAGGTTGGATTTAACCTACACGTGAACAATACGAACGTTTGAAAAAAAACGGTGGCGGCTCTACTACCGCCCTAGGAAGCAAACTGCAAGATCTGACTCACCCTAGAATCAGAGGACAAGGTTTGCTGAGTAACCACAGGAACTTCCGGTTTTCTTGACCCTGACGCCGAGCTCATGACGTAAACCGCATACGACAAGGCGCTCTTGTTTTTACGTTCTTCCCAATGACCTTCACGTCCCGAACGGAAGGCCTCTAACTGTGCTCTGATTGGTCGCATGCTGAGACTGGTCCCGCCCCCCGTCGTCTTCGCTCCTTCGCTGCAGAAGCTACCGCGCTACCTCCTCAGCGTTTCGCACATTTAGAAGCCGCTTCGCTGTGTAGTAAAGATGCCGCGTGGAAGCCGGAGCCGCACCTCCCGCATGGCCCCTCCGGCCAGGTGAGGCCAGCGTGGGGTCTGGGGCCAAAGTGCGGGCTTCGGGACACTGCGGGCGCCGGGACGCCGACGGAGGCCGCACTAGGCCTCTGGCGCTCGGGGAGGCCACGGGATGTGAGTTGGAAACTAGTTTCGGTGTGGCGGTGGCATGGATCCGTTTCGGACCGCCGCAGGCCAGGCCCCTCACGCCCGCTGGCAGGCTGGTTGTAAGGCTCACCGACCACGTCGGATCGCCTTCCCGTTTGTGGCATAATCCCTAACTTCGAACGTTCGTGAATTATTAAAACAGTTTAAATAAAAGCTCATTTGAAATTGCAGTAACAGGCAAGTTGTAGAAAGAAGTGGCCTTTTGTAAAGAAAAAACAACTGAAACGTGAAAAGTAGGGGGGAAAAAAGCAATGGGAGCAAGGTGACGTAATCGGGGGAAAGTGGTGGCGTCCCCGTTAATGGCACGTGCGGTGGCAAGGCTGCCTTCCCAGGGCCCGCCCGCTAGGAGACTCCAAGGCCGCTCAGTCCACGCTGTTTAGTAGCTCGTAAAATAGTTTAAAAATGTACCGCTAATTGCACCGCATGATAATCTCCGAGGTAGACGTGAATTCCGTTTCACAGCAATAGGGAAACTGGAGACGGGGAACGAGTGACTTGTCCACGGGCCGGGTCTCGGATTCAGAGCACAGTTCCCAGTGCGTCTCTAGACTGCGGCGGGTTGTGTGGAAACGAACAGTGTGCTGGGTGTGTGGGAGGGGTGCCCACTTCCAGAAGTTTTGTAACGTTACTCCCGATGCTAATAAGTTAAATCATCACCTTTTGACCTAGCCCGATTTTGGGGAAAAGCAGGAAACCAAATAATCTAAAAATGGACAGCGTGATTTTAGGTGGAGGGTTTTGGAGCAGCGTTGGACGTAATTGGGGAGATTGTTGAAGCCATCCGGATGTTTTACAGACGGGACCTAGCTGACATTAACGGTTTAGGCCAGTCTATCCCCTTACTAGGCTTCTGTTTCCTGACCTGTAAAGTGAAGGAACTGAACCAGTCTTTCTCCAGAGGACCACCTGCAGGTCCTTCACTACCCTTAGACTGCAACGTCCCACAACATGTTTTTTTTTTTTCTTGATACTTGACACCATAGGTCAGATTTTACTTATTCATGAAAACAGATGTTCCTACACACCTAGCATACTGTGTGTTCATAGCTATATCCCCAGTACCTTACACATAGTAGTTGTCTAATAAACATTTAAATGAGCAAATTCTCCAAGGATTCTATGATTTTTATGAGGTATGTAGGTTCTATAAATGCATAGATGGAAATGGTTGTAAAAAAAAAAATGGTTTATACTTGGTGATCACAACTTTAATGAAAGGTTAAACAGGAAGTGTTGTCAACAGGTCAGGAAGTTTTTCTTTTTTGTATGCATCTTAGTATTTGTGCTTAATAATTTAAGAGGAACACCCTAAGGGGGATTTTAAAGTGACCAGGTGGAATGTACTCCATTGTTCTTTCTTTCCCAGCCGTGGGCCTCAGATGAGAGCTGCCCCCAGGCCGGCGCCAGCAGCTCAGCCACCAGCAGCGGCCCCACCGGCTGCAGTTGGCTCACCTGCTGCTGCAACCAAGCAGCCAGGCCTCATGGCCCAGATGGCAACCACCGCTGCCGGGGTGGCTGTGGGCTCTGCCGTCGGGCACACACTGGGCCATGCCATCACTGGAGGCTTCGGTGGAGGGAGTAATGCTGAGCCCTCACGGCCTGACGTCACTTACCAGGTGAGGCTGGAGGCAGCATCTCCCTTCCATGAATGTCCTTTGTTCAAACACCTAGTTATTATAAGCTGCATATGTGTTGGAACCGTCTGTAATTTTAGCATCCACAGGCTCTTAACAGAAAATGATAAAAAAAAAAAAACACATTTGAGAGTTCAGTTAGTGCCTTAGACCAGCATCTTCTCCTAAGGAGAAGAATTGGAGCAGTCCAACCTGACTTGCTGTGAAATAGCCATTTCCCTCTTGTTTTAAATACTTTGTCTCAGTACTAATTCAGTCTCATTCTTGGTTGTGTTCAATGCCTTTACTGGCTGTAGGCTCTGTGGTTTCCTATCAGATATGTACCACCACCCCTCGCTCTGATTTTATGAAATTGCCTCCCTCATGGAGCACAGGTGTGTGTTGTGTTGTACTTCTGAGGACGGGAACCTCCCATCCCTCTGCTTTGCGGTGGTAATCCCACTTTGCCTCTGTGAGGCCTCAACGAAGTGTGCAGTCCTGAGATACCCCAGTAGCCATTTTCATTGGTGTCTTTGTTTTTCAGTTTTTCTGGTTAGAGTTGGAAGGCTGGTGAAGCTCATCTGCACCTGAGCTTGAAACATGTTTGCCGTCCTTATTAGGTGGGAACTTTCATCTACGTTTGATGCTAGTCCTGGTTCCGTGATGAACCTCAGAAAACCATGGCTGCACTTTGTGCAAGTATGAGTGTGACTTCCTTTCTTGGCGGTCCTGAATGGTGTGCCTTTGCAGGAACCTCAGGGAGCCCAGCCGGCGTACCAGCAGCAGCAGCAGTTTGGCCCCTGCCACTATGAGATGAAGCAGTTTCTGGAGTGCGCCCAGAACCAGAGCGACCTCAAGCTCTGTGAGGGTTTCAGTGAGGTGCTGAAGCAGTGCAGGTTTGCAAATGGTAGGTGATGAATCGACCCAGGTTCCTTGTTGAATTGACATCTCACTCCTCTGATTGGTGGGTGCTCCTATGACCTACAAAATGTGGGGATTCTCTTGTTTGATAAATTAAACTGACAATTTAAAGGAGATCATGTGGAAATTTCTCTAAAAGTAATTTAACTCTCAAAGGTTTCTAGTCAGTATCTTAAGCTTCCACCAGTTATGTTCTGAGTCTTACTCTTCCTTAAGCAGATACCAATCAGTGAGTTAGATCTTACTGTGATGTCTAAGTGCGTTATCTCCCAGCATTAAGGCCGTGAATACAAAATGCCATTCTCACCAAAGTTCAGTAACGAAACTTTCACCCAAAACACAGTGAAATGTTTCCCTTAGCAGCCCCCCCCCAAAAAAAGGATACTCATGAAGAATCAAAAAAAAAAAATGTTAGAGAGGAAGCTTAGGGGGCAGTGAGTATGTTAATGGAGGAGGAACAACTCAGAAAAGGGGAGTGAGAGGGAAAAATTCCCGAAATGGACATAAAGGTTCTGATATACTTCTGGCAACTGCCGGGTCTCATTTGAGAGGGAAGCTTAGCAAATCCCTCAGTGGGGCTCAGAGGTTTGGGACAGTCAACTTCTTTTTGTCTCATTCCCTCCTTTCAACCTAAGGTTTCACCCTCTATTAAAGTGCTTTATTTTCCTGTTCTTGCTTTCATTCAGGTAAGAAATGGAGATGTCAGTCCTTCTAGGTGGCTGAACTGTGGAATTAAGAGATTACATGTCTAGGTTTATCCAAAGTCTTGGGTAAAGCTGCATCAGTTACCAGAATGGGTAAATTTCAGGACTGGGTCACTACAGGCACACCTCCTCTCAGTTTTGGCCATTACAGAGCTGTTGTGTGTTGGCTGGTTGCAGTGTCCTTTAATGACAGGAATCACCAGTCCTGGGTTTGTAATTTGGAGGGTAGCAGTTGGGTTGAGTGTATGTACTTAGTGCTTTTCTAACTTCTGACTTTTTGTCTGTTGCAGGATTAGCATAATAAGAAGGTCAAATTGAAGAAATGGAAAACCAGCTTTCATGACCAAGTTAATTTAGCACAAAACTAATCGATAGTGACAGTGTGAAGTGGACAAGCACCAGTTAAACCTTCCTCCATCACTAATAGCATTCTTGTTTCAGAGCTACCCTGGGAGGAGACGTTCTTACATTGAGCTGAAGTCTGGGGCTAGGTAGTTGTTTGTGTGGCCTCCTTAAATAGCTGTGGTAATGTTACTGTTTGTGAATAATTAGAATAAAGTGATTTTCTTCCACGATGTGTGTCTTTTAAAGTGTCAAGTGATAGGTTGAGAGTGGTGTACACACCTCTGCATGCTCATTTCACAAAAGCAACAGTTGTCTCAATGTGTCTTTAAGCTCAGTCTGTTGTCCTTGGGTATGAGACCAGCACCCACCAGATCTGACCGAGCTCTCTGGAGAGTTCTGCACATGAGGTGTCTATATGCATATAGTATGTAGGAGGGGCTCCCTAGCAAACATGTTCACTAATGGTGCAGGCGCTGTAGGCTCTTGGGAACCAGCGTTTAATGATCAGAAAGTTTTTTTAAGTGTTAACAGTTCCAGATCAGATTAATGAGAAGAGAGTGTGAGAATGGACCCATTACGTGGGGGTGTGCCCCCTTACCAGGTCAGGACTGCAATGTCACTGATCCCCTATTGGCCTCCCCTCCTCACTTTTGGACATGGTTCAGTTCCAAAGTCCAAATCATTATGCAAAAACCTGTTAGGCAAATATGGAGGATGACTACATCATCCAACTGCCAAACCACCAAGGATCATGGCCCAGCAACAGTGTTCTGTCCTCTCACACCTCAGCATTCACTACTGCCAGAGAGATGCCATTAATGTGCAAAGTGGTGAAAGAAATGTTCTACTACTGGAAGTGCAAAATGTCAGATAACCAGTAAAGTGAGATGTAGACCTAGAGCCAATCCATCGGTCAGAGATGAAAAGCATTCTTAACGTGGGTAGTTTCCCTGCAGGTGTACTACTTGCCTGAAAGCCCTGCTGCAGTCACCCACTACACAGCCTAGATTCTTGGGGGGGACAAGGGAGACAGGCAGGCCTCATTTCTTCGATGGATCAAGTGTCCTTTCATAGAAGACTCAACTTGTAGGAGTTGATCTTCCACCTACATCTGGCTGTGCCATTGTCTTGCTCTCAAATGTTCCTTTCATAGCCTGAGTGTCCTCTGGACATGGAATAAGCTGCTAGGTGCATTAGCCTGTTGCCCCAGGGTCAGAAGGGATTTTGTGATGCATTAAAAGTACAGTAAAGCCAGGGGCTCAAACATTTGTACACCAATGTTCACTGCAGGCTTACTTGGTTGCCAACAGATGGAAACTCCGTAAAGAGTCCCATCAGCAGGTGATAAGCTGGATTCACGTACAGTGGAGTATTAGCCATGAAGAGAAAGGAAGTTCTGATACATGTTACAAGGTGGTTAAACCTCGTAAACATGCTGGGAAAAATGAGTCCGACATGAACAAACACTGTATGATCACACAAGTACCTAGAACAGGCAAATAGGCCTAGAAACACCATTTAGAAACTCAGCCAGAAACAACCTTATGGAAGTTTCCTTCAGTGATCCCCGATGGGAAAGCCCACTCACCTGTGAGAACTGCATTACGTAGTCCTAAAACACACTTGGCTGCTAACCAAAAGGCTGGGTGTTCGAGTCCACCCAAAGGTGCCTCGGGTGAGTCACCTCTGAAAAGTCAGCCACTGAAACCCTAAGGAGAGAATGTGGACATAATGTAAAGGTGGGTCCCACCGTTCAGGCCTCTGTGCTCACCGGTGGCAGTGGTCATGCCCTGAGCTGTCCCTGTGTTCCAAGGCTCAACGTACACGGAAGTCACCCCCAGAGATGTAAGTGCGTTCCTGGCAAGACCTAAAGGCCAAGGGAGCTCCAGAAGGAAGAAATGGTCACTTCCTGCCATGCTGCTCTATCCCCAGGCCGCCTGAGCTCCCCTCACCCGCCACCAGAGGGCCTGAGGGCCTCACCACTACACGCCGTCACCTCCCCTCCCAAGCTTGGCCGGCATCCCAGGCTTGGGGCTGCGGTTATTTTTGGGACATCAGCCTCGGGTCATCAAATAGCAAAGCCTAAAGAACAGCAAGATCTCCTGCTCTGGCCACAAGTGTCTGCTGGGCGCACGGCTCCAGCCTCTGTTGCGCCCTCTCTCCCAGGGCTCCGAGGCCTTTGGGATACCTGTCAAGTTCCCTCCAGGGTCGGCAAGGAGCTAAAGGGTGAGTACCCAGGCCTGTGATGAACAAACCCAGCAGACAGGCAGGAGACAGAGGGGTGTCAACGAGAGGATGGAATGGCAGGCCCACTTCCCCTCCCTCAGGAAGGCCAGCGGCCACTGACGAGCACTGACATGTGAAGTCCCCTGGGTGGGGGGTGCTTCTACAGAAAGTGGCTCCCTGCAGCTGGCTTCCTGACTTTCCAAGTATGCGGCGAGGGATGTTACGTTCCAAAAAGAACAGGCCACATGGGGACCCTCTGCAAAGTGGTCTTGGGAAAATGCTTGGGGGTGCAGGTGACAGCAGTAGGCAGAGGCGCAAAGTTAGGGAATGGTTTAAGATAAACACCCACCGACACCCCCCGCTGGAGAACTGGGTGCAGCCACAACTTGGTGGAGCTGACGCTCCCGGACCCCCCGGGTCGACAGTCTGTGGTGTGTCTCAATACTCCCTCTGCTCATGAAGGATGAAGGAAAGGCAGGCCACCAGGAACTTCCTTTCCAAAGGCCGGAGGGGCCCCATGCCCCTGGGGCTGGGAGATGGCAGGGTGGGGAGGACACTGCCCAGCTGGGGCCTTAAAGCGCAGGCCAGGATGTGGGCTTGTTTTTCCGACAACAGACCCCCTGGGGCTGCAGGCAGGGCGGAGGGGGCCGGGAGCGGCCCAGCGTCTGCTGCTGGCAGGCACGGCTGTTGTTGTTCTCAACCTTCTTTGGTAACCAGGCACTCAGCAGTGGGGACACCAGGCTTCCTGGAACAGCCAGGCTGCCATCTGGCTAGTCAGCAAAATAGTCCTCTGGACAGCCAGGCCTCTGGCAGCCCGGAAGGGGCAGCTGGCAGTGGGTGAGAGGCAGCTGGCCCCACCAAAGGGCAACCTGCACCGTTTTCCTACCTGCCCCCAGCCCTGCTTGTAGGCGGTCTTCTCCATTTCTAAGCCTTGCGTCTGGGGCGGGACTTCAGTCCTGTGGTGGCCTCCACATTCCTGAGAAAGGTGACCAGCCTAGGCCCCCTGTGCCTAGGCCCCCTGTGCCCAGGCCCGGGTACCCAACCTGCATTGCCTGCCTCCCCCATAGGCCCTGCACTGCTTGCTGGCCATGGCTGGGAGGATGGGGGGCACTCAGTTGCAGGACCCTGGACCAAGGTGACACTCACCCAACTGTGCCTGAGACGTCCCCACTGTGCACAGAGGGCAGAGGTGGCCAAGCCGTTCTCAGGAAGTGATGGAATCCTGACAAGGCTGGCAGGAGCCTGGATCCAGGACTCACGTTCAGCCTTATGTCCCTCAGAGCATCTGGGCAGGCTGGCAGAGAGTGGGTGGGCAGTGTCTGTTGGGCAAACGAAAGAACGCATGAATGAAGAGGGAGCTGAAGATCCCAGGGACACGCAGAACGGATAGGATGGAGCAGTGGGGCCGGGCCCAGGAAGGGCGCCCTGCAGGCGGCGTATTCAAGGCAGGATGGTTAGACCAAGGGGGAGACCAAAACCCAAGCCACTTGTTGCCAGGTTGAGTCCAATGCATGGCGACCCCATGCTTGTCAGAACAGGACTGTGCTCCACAGGGACTTTTTATCCTTATTTAATTTCTGGTTAACATATACACGGCAAAACCTGCTCTGAGTCAACAGCTTCTAGACATCAGGACCAAGGACATTGGTCCGTAAAATTTTCAATGGCTGATTTTTCTGGAAGGAGATTGCCAGGTCTTTCTTCCAAGGTACCTCTGCGTACACTCGAACCTCCATCTAAATGAACATGTTAAGAAGATGAAACTATGACCCTTCTCAGTCTTTTCATAAGTGCAGAGAGCAGCCAGGAAAAGCAGGGCCAGAGCCATATTCTCACACAGCATTCTGATCCGTCCTCTGCTGGTTCCCCGTGGTGCTGCCTGGGGGGTAAAAATATCCCCAAAGTCCTCTTGAAACCACACAATACCCCCCTGGAAAAAACCCTTGGAATACACACACACCCAGGAGTGCCTAGGCAATCACCTTCTAACATGCAGAGCAGGCTGAGGGAAGTGGATCATTACTGAGGGAGCACAGCGCCAGCCCTGGAAGGTGTGAGGTGTGGACACCAGAAAGAACGTTTTTGGGAGATGGAGTGGTGACTGGATAAATAACTGAGGGAATAATTTTAAAAATAAAAAGAGCAAACTATAGTTTAGGTGAACTAGTGAAAAAGGCCTGCCTCGAGTACTGTGCTCTTTAAAACCTGTATGAGATCAGGGACAGCAGCAACTCAAAAGGTCAGAGGAAGCTCAGGGGGGCAGAGAGTTTATGTGAATGGCGGAAGAACGACTCAGAAGAGGGCGGGCGGCTGCACACCCACGAGGATGTCATCAACATCACCGAACGGTACACGGGGAAACGGTTGGGTTGGCATACGTTCTGCTGTGTATATTCCCAACAACAAAACCAAACCCAAATTTTAAAAATCTACCAAGCGGCACGTGGCTGTGTTACTTGGCCTCCTGACCTTCTCCGATGACTCTGTCTGCTGCAGGGCTCTACAGACACAGTGGTCGCTGAGCAGAAACATGCCAAAGACGGCAAGCCCCAAGCGTCTGAGAGCCTGGAGAGCTTCCCATGGGTTTACTGTCTTACTGTGGTTTTATTATTATTTTTTTAAATCTGCACTGAAAATTGTTTTCTATTAGTGGTAAAACAAAACAAAACAAGGGGGTGTCACCTGTCAGAGGCCAATTTCGGGGCCTGGTCTCCCACCTTGGGACCCGCCTGGACCACCCTCGCTTAGGGAAAGCGGCAGCTCCCAGCCAAAACATAATGTTGGGGTAGCCATGTGGTCACTGGGGGTCACCAGTTTGCAGCCAGCAGGAGGAAGCAAGAGCTCCAAGCTCCAGGTGCGAGGGTGAGGCAGGCATAGAGGGTGAAGACCACTGGCCCTGGGGTCAGAAGGGCGAGTGGGTCCCACTTGGCTGAGGTCTTCCCCTCCAACCCAGCTCCGTTTGAGAAAGCACAGAGAGGTGTGACTGTCCCTCACAGAGCCCACCCCCCAGGCCATGAAGGCTGACAGCTCCCTCCCGTCCCCCTCACAGAGTCCCTTGGAGTCGCCCACCGAGGGAGCCGAGCATGACCCGGGACGAGTCCGTGGCAGACTCCCACTCCACACACGGCTTCTACGAGAACTATGAGCCCAAGGAGATCTTGGGCAGGTGAGGCAGCCCCACCGCCAGCAGGCTTGGACCCCACTTCCACCCCAAAGTGGAATCACTTGGAGAACCCCTCACTCTGGGGGTCTTGCCCTCCTGACACCAGTAACGATAAGGGGGATATAAGAGCTCTCTGAGGGAGCAGTGGGGGCTCAGCGGTATACCATTCTCACTTTTCATGCGGGAGACCCGGGTTCGATCCCAGCTAACGCACCACGGGCACACCCACCACCTGTCTGTCAGTGGAGGCTTGCAAGTTGCTCTGATGGAGAACAGGTTTCAGGGGAGCATCCAGACTAAGACTAGGAAGAAAGGCCTGGCCATTTACTTCTGAAAACCAGCCAATGAACACCCTGTGAATCACAACAGGGGCCAATCGCGTCGTGCCCTGGACACCATGAGTCAGGGGCCCACTGATGGCAGTCAACAACAGGTGTTCCATGACCAGAGACCTGTCCCAGCAGAGAGCTTCCAGGGCGCCGCTGACACACACACACACACACACACACACACACACACACACACACACACACCAACCCCCCAACCCCCAGCTGAGACCCAGCCTGGGGTCAGGTCAGCAGTCAGAGGGAAGGTTCTAGCTTCTTCCTGTGTGTGGAACAGGGAGCATTTAACTAAGAGTCAAGGGATACCAGCTCGTTACTCACCAGCTCTGGGAAAACCACCCTCTGTGCCTTGCCCTTTCGCTCTCAATTGAAGCCAGTTGCTGCCCAGTGGAGTCCAACTTATGGAGACTCCATGTGTGTCAGAGAACTGTGCTCCAGAGGGTTTTCAACCACTGATCTCCTGGACGCAAGTCACCAGGCCTGTCTTCCAAGGCACCTAGTTAGCAGTCAAGCGCACTAACCGTTTGGACCACCCAGGGACTCCTTCTTCATTCTGCCACCCCCACAAGCTCCCCGGGAGCAGGGGCAGTGGAGAGCACCAGAAGGGGCGCGACATCCCTGGCCTCACCCTCTGGTCTCTGTGCCTCCAGGGGCGTCAGCAGCGTGGTCAGGCGTTGCATCCACAAACCCACATGCCAGGAGTACGCCGTGAAGATCATCGATGTCACGGGCGGAGGCAGCTTCAGCTCCGAGGAGGCCCGGGAGCTGAGAGAGGCCACATTGAAAGAGGTGGACATCCTGAACAAGGTCTCGGGGCACCCCAACATCAGTGAGTGATGCCACAAGGCTCAGCGGGGGTCCTGCCCCGACTCTGCGGCCCCACCCTGCAGCCTGACTCACCACAGCACCTCCTGCTGCACGTTGAAGGCTCACCAGCCCAGCACCCGAAGGCTGGAGGGCCCTGCTCCACCCTCATGGTTCCAGGCAGATGGGGGATGGGTTGGAGGGGGTGAGATTGGCTGCCCAAAGTCTTGGACTGCCTAGTCTCTGCTCCACACCCTCTGAGCTCTGTCTTGCTAGCCTTCCCCGACCCCCAGCTGTTTGAGTTAGGCCCCCATCAGCCTGATCCCCTTACCCCTGAGTGTCCACAGCCCCTGCCCAGTGGGCTCTGTGGCCTGAGACCAGCTGGCTTTGCTTTTCAGTCCAGCTGAAGGACACCTATGAAACCAACACTTTCTTCTTCCTGGTGTTTGACCTGTAAGTACCCGGCCCTGGAGCTGGCCACATCCTGGGGGCCCATCAGAGAACCCCGGAGTGTGATCCCCCACCCAGCGCTTTTCAGAAACCACAGCCAGCCCCCTCCACCACAGACACCAGACAGGACCACAAACCCTTCAGGCAGGTCAGCCTGGGGTCAGGCTGCCCAGCTGGGAACCCAAGTGCACACTTACAGGCTGGAGGGTCCCTATGAGTATCAGTTTTCTCATCTGTATTATGGGTGCAACAATAGGACTGCCCTCACAGGGGCTGTTGTGATATTATATGTAAAAAGGTGGGCACAGTGACTGGTGTATGTAAAATGTTCATGGCCGTTAACTACAATGATACCACGTGAAACATTGGTGGTTCAGAGGTAGAATTCCCATCTTCCGTGCAGTCCTGAGTTCAGTTCCCACCCAGTGCCCCTCACGTGCAGCCAGCACCTTGCTGAGCGGAGGTTTGCGTGCTGCTATGATGCCCCCCAGTTTCGGTGGAGCTGCCAGCCTCTGACAGACTAGGCAGGAAGGCCTGCTGATCTCCTTCCAAAATCAGCCAAAAATCCTACGGCTCACAATGTTCTGATCCACAGCTGATCAGGGGACGGCACAGGACGAGGTGGCATGCTGTTCCTTTGTACACAGGGTCACCATGAGTTGGGGCCAACTCGATGGCAGCTAATGACAGGGATGGTGGGGCATTCAATTAGTATTTCAGGCACCAAGGATACAGCAATGAACAAGCCAGTGTTCCTGACTTCATGTCAGCAGTTCCACTGAAAGCAAACAGAGACAAGCTGTGACATCTCAGTGTACCGTGCCCATGTACAGAAGCAGGAGGCGGCGAGAGTGACAGGGCCCACCTTGGATGGAGTGGCCTGACGTGCTCTGGGGAGATGGCCTGAGCACAGTGAAGCGAGGAGGGGCTGGAGTAAAGGCCCTGCAAGCAGAAGGGAGGGCCAGCTCCAAGGCCTGGGCTTGGTGTGTGCCAGGCCTGACAAGGCAGCGTGAGCGGGGGAGCAGAGGACTGGTCATGGGGACTGGCAGGAGGCCCGGTCAGTGAGTCCTGAAGACCCGGTTCTGCCGGGCCCATCAGCTCCATGAGGACTCTGGGAGGCCACTGGAGGGCGAGGGCAGGAAGGGGCTGGGATCCGATGAACCTGTGAAAGGCTCCTGCCGTCTGGGGCGGCCAGCGTGGGCAGGGGGCAGCTGGCAGTACTCGGGTGGAAGGCAGGGCACTGCCCGAACCAGGTCTCAGATCAGGGAGCGATGTGGTTCAGAGGTGAAGCTGACATAGCTGTCATCAATCATCATCCCTGCCCCCGCTTCTGCACCCAAATGCTCCTATGACGGGCTCCTCCCTGTCTCGGGACAGAGCCTGTGTCTTCTCAAGAAAGGCACGGTGACCCCGACCACTCAGTGCAGCTCACTAGGTTCCCAGCATCAAAGGAGACCACCACCACTGTGCATCCACGCTGAGAAGCGGTCCCAGGGCAGGCACGGGCCAGCTCTGCACCCCCCGCTCCGCTGCGTCCCTGCTGTGGAACCGAGTTGTGGGTGTAGGAGGAGCTGTCTCGAATGCCAGGTCTTTTCTCTCGTGCAGCCACTGGGTTTGAACCACTGACCTTTCAGTGAGCAGCTAAGTGCTTAGTAGCCACTGTGCCACCAGGGCTCCTTCGCGGCTTCTCCCAGGGCCTCGCCAACAGAGTTAGAGGAGTCACACGCTGCCTCGTGTGTAGCAGCAGAAACCAAGGCCTGTCTCCACCCATCCCAGGCTGTCTCCCCAAACAGAACCGCCCTCCCTTGGCCCACCAGACAGCCGAGGGGTTCTCTGCCTCTCTATGGCACTGGCCAAACCCGTGTTCCTCCAGTCCTCCTGCACCCCCCGTCTGCCTCAGGAACCCCACTTTCCTCCCATGAGGACGCAGGATGCCCTCTCCCAGGACACCTGCAGCCCCTGTCCCAACTCTGCTTTGTGGACTGTCCTGTCCAGGCAGGCAGCCCCGAGGAGCAGCGCAAATGTCTCTGGCCTTTGGGGATGCTGCTCAGGAAGCTATTTTTAATGCTGCCCTGAGGTACCCTCTGGGACAGAACTAGATCGTTGTACCAAGACCTCTCTCGACACCACCCCAAGACTGAGAAGACGAAGTGCAATTCTTCACCCTGCGGCAGCCAACCTCTCCTGCCGAGGCTTTCCGCTTATTCCACAGGGCCACCAGGGGCCCCCTCTCCTTCCCATCTGGGAGAACAACCCCCACCTGATGGTGGCCCCGAGAGATCCCACTCCATGATGTCACTCCCAGATAGGGGGACCCTTCACAGTTCACAACTCACCCCCCAGCCTGCCCCGCTGTCTCCCAGGCTTCCCAGGCAAGCCGCCCGTCCCTTCCCCAGCTCTTGCTCCCAGGCCCACTCGGGCTCTGGGGGGAGAGGGAGGGAGGTCTTGGGACCATCTCCCTTCACAGCCTTTGTCCCCACAGGATGAGGCAGGGGGAGCTCTTTGATTACCTCACCGAGAAGGTCACTCTGAGCGAGAAGGAAACCAGGTGAGGGTGCATCAGGCCTGGCTGTCCCCCGCCCGGCCCCAAGCCCCAGTGCTGCAGATGCGCAGGCTCAGGGTGCACGTGCTGGGCTGAGGGCACGCGCTCTGCTCCCTGGCACAGTCCTGAGGGCCCCAGCCTGTCCCGGGTCCCCGCTCCCTGCTTCGGTGCCCTGCCTGTGGTCAGTGGCACGTGTGCCCACCCAGGAAGATCATGCGGGCCCTGCTGGAGGTGATCTGCGCCCTGCACAAGCTCAACATCGTGCATCGGGACCTGAAGCCCGAGAACATCCTCCTGGACGACAGCAGGAACATCAAGCTCACCGACTTCGGCTTCTCCTGCCAGCTGGAGCCGGGAGAGCGGCTGCGAGGTCTGCACCCCTCACCTCACCCAGGGCCCGGGTTTGCCTGGGTGCCTCCCCCAGCTCTCCCTCTCCAGAACCCACCCACACCCCCACCTCAGGGCACTGCAGCTCAGTCCTCTTCTGTGGCCTGAGCGACCAGCAGACCCATGGTCCTCAAGCTGGTGGCCCTCTTGAGGCCCCATCCCCTGGGCCCATCCCCTGGGTTAGTGATTGTGGTCCCAGCACTTCTGCTCTCTCCACGGTGTCTCCGGACCTGCCTGTTCACCCGCCCGGGGGCCACTGTGCTTGCAGAGGTCTGCGGAACGCCCAGCTACCTGGCCCCCGAGATCATCGAGTGTTCCATGAACGACAACCACCCGGGCTACGGCAAGGAGGTGGACATGTGAGTGTGCTGGGGGGCCCGCTCTCTCGCGCCTCTGCTGCTGGGTGTGACAGCTAGCCCTCGTGTCCCCAGGTGGAGCACAGGCGTGATCATGTACACCCTGCTGGCCGGCTCCCCGCCCTTCTGGCACCGGAAGCAGATGCTGATGCTCAGGATGATCATGAGCGGCAACTACCAGTTCGGCTCACCCGAGTGGGACGACCACTCGGACACCGTGAAGGACTTGGTGAGCGGCTCCCGGGTCCGTGCTGGGGCAGAGGCCCCCGACAGGGAGAGGGGCGCGCTGTGCCACCGCAGGGCACGCGTTCTCCACCCCGCTGGAAGGACCCTGTCTAATGTTTTCTGCTGCCCTCCCCGGCTCTCAGATCTCCCGCTTCTTGGTGGTGAACCCCCAGCGCCGCTGCACAGCGGAGGAGGCCCTGGCACACCCCTTCTTCCAGCAATACGTGGTGGAAGAAGTGCGCCACTTTAGTCCCCGGGGCAAGTTCAAGGTAGGGCTCCGGGCAGCCGCTGCTGGCTCCTGACGGTAGGCTGGCCCTGCCACTCAATAGCCTGGCCTTCCCCTCGCCCCCAGGGTCAGCCCGAAGCCCGGGGGTGGGGGAGCGCAGGGCACAGCAGGCCGGGGGGCCTCCCCGCAGCGGCAGGCGCTCAGTGGCGGCCCCCACAGGTGATCGCGGTGACGGTGCTGGCCTCCGTGCGCATCTACTACCAGTACCGGCGCGTCAAGCCCGTGACCCGGGAGATCGTCATCCGCGACCCGTACGCGCTGCGGCCGCTGCGCCGCCTCATCGACGCCTGCGCCTTCCGCATCTACGGGCACTGGGTGAAGAAGGGGCAGCAGCAGAACCGCGCCGCGCTCTTCGAGAACACCCCCAAGGCTGTGCTGCTGTCCCTGGCCGAGGACTACTGAGGGGCCGCGGGCGCCGGGGCCGGGGACTGGCCACCAAGCGGCGGGGCTGTGGGGAGGTGGCCGTGGCCAGGAGCCCCTGGAGGTGGGGCGCTGTCACCCAGTGAGACGCAGACTGTCGCTCCGCTCCCATCACACAATGAGACACAGACTGGGCCCTCCCAGTGGTGGGGAGGGGTGCCCGCTTCCCCACTTCCCCACTGTGCCACCCCTCATTTTCTGGGAGGCCCTCTGCCCTTGGGGCCCAGGGCGGGGATGAAAGGCAAAGAGCAGTCCGAGAGGCACAATCAGGGCGGTTTACTGACCTCCCATGTTCAGTGACATCACGGAAGCAGGTTACTCTCCAAGGCCGTGGCTTCGGGGGTCACAGAGGCTCTCACACAGTCAACAGTAGCAGGGAAGCTTCTGGTATGTCTCTGAAGCTGCCAACTTCCTCACTCCACAGTGCTCCTGGGCATCCACCTTCTTCCGACAGACATTGTGGGTTTTCGGTACTTTACACAGCAGGTCGTGGAGATGAGCTCCTTCAGAGGGGCGAGGACCCGAGGGATGAGGTCAAGGAAGGAGCAGTGTCCTCCTAAGGCCACTGGTGGATACCAAAGAGAACGTGGGAGGCTGGTCCTTGAGGAAACACCGCCGGCTTCTGCATCAGACGCTGAGGGAAAGGGGAGGGGTGATTTCTAATGTCTAACCCCCTACCCTTCAGAGCACTTGGAGCCAAGGGTCTGAGGATCTGGCCCCTTGACTGGTTGATACTTGAGTTGTAGAGAAACAGCCGGCTCCTGGCCACCCCCAGTGAGCTGGGTCTCTTCTCCAGGATCGGGTCCCCTCCTAGATGGTGACAGGCTCCCACCACTGTGGAATGGGGGAAGGGAAGGCTATCCTGAAGCTGAAGCATCCAGGCTGAGGCTAGGCTGGAAGGCCACGGGCCCACGGCAACTTTCCTTCTTGTCTGCAAGGCTGCTCATAGCTCTCCAGGCGGGCGGCCTGCACTGGATGCACAGCGGAAACCTAGGTTGTCTGAGGCTGAGTCCGGGGTGTTGCCCATCCTGCCACCAGAGAAGGGGAGAGAGGATGGACATTGTTTAGACAGGAGCCTAGGGCAGGACTCAACTTCCTTTTCCAACCGCCCAGGCCCGACTGTGACTGGTGTACCTGAGGGCTGGGGCAGCTGGTTGATAGCAGGCCCTGAGCACCTACCACTCCTGGGGGAGAAGGGCTGAGGGGTGAGAGGGGGCCCTGGTGCAGGGTGAGGGGGTGGGAGTGCTCCTGAGAGACTGCGCTGGAAGGCAGGCAAGACCATGAGAATAACTTCTACTATGGGTAGCGTAGACTAACTTGGCCTAAACAGGACCATAAAAAACTGTCACAGCACTAATCCGTATGTTGCACTTTTCAAAGAACTTGCCCACGTATTTCTTCATCTGCCATTTCCCAACTACTCTGAGAACAGGCCTGTCCCTCATTCTGCAGCCCCAGAATCAGAGACTGGACAGACTGAGGTGTCTTGCTCAAGGCCAACCACTGACTCAGTGTCAGAATGGAATCAGCAGAAAACCCAGGTCCTGGTCTCCAGGCCTGCACTTTCGCACTGTTTTGTCCTGGAAAAGCCAGGGCCTGCACATGTCACAGGACTTCTGTGAACCAGACACTCTGAGGTCCCACAGACAGCAGGCCCTATGTAGTCCTGCTGGGACCCACGGTGGACAGAGATGCACAGAAAGCAACCAGACTAACTCTAGCAGCGAACAAACTAGGAAGCACCCAAGTTGGGGACTGGACTATGTGCCCCCACCACCCCCGTGAAACGAGCAGGGCCCCGGACCTCCCAAGGCCTGCTGTTCCTTCATTCTAACACTAAGTGGTTTAGAAAAAGGCTTTTCCAGAGCCTGCCAGTTTGAAGCATCCATGACAGTGGCTGCCCCTGGGATGTGGCCACTCCAAAGCCCTCTCTCTGCCCACCTCACTGTTGAGGATGAGATCAGCAACCCACGTGGTGACAATGCTGGACACGTGAAGCTCCCTGGTGAGACCAGGTCAGTGTCCTCGGCCCGTGGGCTTGTCTCAGCAGAGGTTCCCAAGGCGGAGCAGCACAAACAACAGCTCCAGTGCCTCCTGGCTCAGCCCAGGCCCCAGACTCCTCCCTGCAGCACTCACCTGGTGGTGACCCGGGCACGGTGATTGGCAGAGCCATCAGCCGTGTCAATCCACGATGCCCCCCGGAGGACACGCATGTCCTGGTCAGCTGGCTGGTATGGTGACGCTGTCCACTCCCACACATTGCCCATGAGGTCGTGGAGCCCTGCAACCCAGCAGGCAGGCGGTCATAGGCTTGGGGAGACCAGACCACCCTCCCACCCATCACAGGCCCAGCGCAGCACTGGGAGTGGGTGCCTTCCTCCACCTCATCCATCAGGCAGAAGGACGCCACCCGGGAGTCGTGAAAGCAACCTGATGTGACACCTTACCATAGTTATTCTGTGGGGGGAATGCGTTCACTGGTGAGACTCCATGGAAGCCATCCTCGGCCCTATCACCTTTGGGAAACTTCCCCTAAAGGAAGAAATTCAGGTTAAAAGGCTTAATGGTCCTATCCCAAGGCAAGTTCCTGCCTGCCCAGGGGCAGAGCAGACCAAGGTCATCTTACTGTGCCATCTGGGGGAGGGGGCCAGGAGTGGCCAGAGGCTCCTACCCCAAGCTCCCCAGTCAGTCAGGGACATGTTGTCCACGTCAAGCCCACCCCACCCCTGCTCTCCCTACAATCAATGACCTTCTCCCCTCTGCCTCGAGTCCCATGTGCTATGGATCCGGGAAGAGAGGTCCCCGTCCGTTCCTGCAGCCCCAGCAGCCCCGGGCCCACCCCCATCCACCTCCTCAGGCACCCTGACGTCGTCCTGCGCTCTCCTGCACCGCTGGGCCCCTTCCTCTCCACCACCACCCACGTGCTCCACTCGCCCTCCTCAGACCTGATGCCACCTCCCTTGAGCTACAACCCCATGTCTTCACCACCAAACCTCTTGGAAAAGTGGCCTATATTTGCTGATTCCATTTGTTCAAGCTTGTTCTTTGTGACTGAAGTTGGGTATCAGCTGCCATCACTCTGGTAGCTGCTCTTCCGGAGGGGAACGGAAGGGTTTACAGTTCACCCGACACCCACAGCTTGCCAGGCTTCTTGCGGGGTCTGTTACAGTGAACTCTTCTGATTTCATCCTCACAATGCTGTGAGGCAAGCATTGTCTCCATTTTACAAAACCTAACACTCCCAGAACTGCTGCCTTGAGATTTCTTTAAATCTTAAACCAAAAATAGTCCCAGAAGTCTTCTTAAAACCAAACCAGAGTTTAGCTTAATTAGCGAAGGGTGTCTGCCTTGAGCACCGAGGTCTTTTAAGATCTCTCTGTATGGGAAACCTTAACAAAAGATCTTACCGAATTGACAACAGCAACTTGAAAGGTTAGATGGGAAGTTTAGGGGGGCAGTGAGTTGATGTTAATGGGGAGGGACCATTCAGAAAACGGGCGAGAATGGTTGCACAACTCAAGGAATGGAATCAATTTCACTGAATTGCACGTGGAGAAACAATCTAATTGATGTGTGCTCTGCTGTGTATACTCCGAACAACAAAATTTATATACACAAATGTGAAACAGTTTAGGCTCAAAATGGTTACCTCTTCTATCAAAGATCAAACCGGAAACAGGTCAGATCTCTTTCTGCAAAGCTGTCATTTAGAACTAAGGCCATCTGAAAGGTCAGCTGACCCCTGTGGTCTTTTCAATGCCTCTCCCTAAGATGCCAGTGGTGTTCCTGAAGGTTCTCATCTAGCCAGCTGCTCTCCCCTACTCTATACTTGCCCTCGGGGCAGCCTTCTGGCTGGTGTTTGTACTGGGGACCCCCAGCCCAGCTCTATGACCCAGACCTTGGTCCTCAGCACCTGGCTTGTACTTTCAACCTCTGACTAAACGTATGAATAACCCCAAAGCACCTTACATTTAGTTTTTCCAAAACTTATCAAGTTCCAGCCCTCTGACCAAGCATGTAGATTACCTGTTTTAGACAGTGGTGACACTTATCATCCTGTTGCCCAAGTCTGGATTCATGCTTGAAACCAACTCTCTTCCACCTTTTCACATTTGGTTAATTACTGAACCCCATGTCCAGCTCAGACATGCCTCGCCCATTTGATGTCTCCAATCAATTGTGCTTCCACTTAATTCAAATGCTGGTATCCCCAGGGCCATCACCGTGGCCTCGGATTCACAGACTCCTTGCTACGCTGCAACTCCACTTCACCTGGTTCTGCCATGCCAGTGTGGCATACCCCAAAAACCAGAACAATGCTAGTCTGTTTAAAACCCCTGCAGGAAAAGAGAATCAAGAATAGGAGAGGGATGTGGAATGTGTGGCCAACTGCCTCCTTTGCCACGAGACTAGAATTGAGTGGTGCCTGGCTACCATTCCTGAACATTTTGATCAAAGATTCCAATGAAGAATCCTGATCAAAAGGGGGAAAATGCAAAACAGACTTTTAAGCTCTCACGGATTCCAGAATTTCTGGAGCCACAGAAGATGAATGAATCCCTGCAACTACTACCCTGAGACCATCTTTAAACCTTACACCAAAAACATCCTTTGAAGTCATCTGAAAACTGACCCACAGTGTAACTGAACTAGGAAAAAAGGCTGGCTTTGACCACTGCGCTCTTCTAAGAATGATATGGGATCAAACTGATAATAGGAACTTGACAGACTGGAACTTTAGGGGGCAGTGAATTTATGTTAATGAAAGAGGAACAACTCAGAAAAGGAGGATGAAAAAGGTTCACAACCCAAAGAATGTACTCAGGGTCCCTAAACCGTACACATAGAAACTGCTGAACTGGTATGTTCTGCTGTGCATATTCTCAACAACAACAAAATAAATAACATTTAGAAAAAAGAAAAACCTCTGTTAGAATGAGAATGAAAAGCTGCCCACCGATGTCACGGCAGCACTCTTCACAGAGGTCAAAGGTGAAACCACCAACATGTCCGTCATGGAATGAACGGATAAATCAAATGCGGCTGACACTACAGAATATGGCTCAGCCAGAAAGAGAATGAAGTCCTGACATCACAACATGGAAGAACTTTGAAACATTATGTGGAGTGAAAAGAGTCAGTCACAACAGGACACACGTGTATGACCTCACTTACATGAATTAGGCCAATGTCTAGAGACTAAAGTGGGGACCAGGGGTGGGAAGGAAGGGGAAAGGGAAGCCACTGCTTAGGGGGCATTGAGTTTCTGTCAGCGGTGGTGGAATGATCCGGAAAAGGCTAGTGATGATGACCACACGAAGTGATGGGTGTGATCAGTGTCACTCAATCATACACGTAAAAACTGCTGCATGGGCAACTGTTTTGTTGTGTCTATTTTTACTACAATGAAACGACAAAGCACTTCTGTTGGCTCTCCACTGCCTACAGGGTAAAATCTAGAACACTTGGCCCTTCGTGGGCTGGGCCTAACCCACCCTCGACTGCATCTCTCCATTTCCGGGCCACCAGCCTCTAACAACATCCAGCACAGTGGCTTCCTCGCCTGGAGCGTCTTTTCCTCCCCGTTTCCCCTGGCAAACTCCCATTCCATCTGCTCAAATGTCACCTTCTCTCTGAAGTCCAGCCAGCACCCTCAGGCCATGACTAGCTCCTGAGCACCATTATAGGTCTTTACTACAGACTGACTGTCCTGCCACGCTGTTCTCAGCCTTACACCTTCACTACAGACTGAAGACTGTCCTGCCACGCTGTTCTCAGCCTTACACCTTCACTGGTTATCAGCTCCACTGGACCAGGAAGCCCTGTGAACCCCAGCTTCACAGCATGCCAGCCTACCGCAGGTGTCAATCAGTGTTTGGTGAAACGCGGGGAGGGACAAAGGTCTCACCTGCCACAGGTTGGTGCGGTTTGCCTGGAACTGGTCCCCCCAGGGGTAAACTTGACCTGCAGGGAGATAAGAAGACAGGTAGGAGGGAGACATGAAGAGCTGGGGAGGAAGAAGGGGTGATAGAAAGAGTGAGGCACCAAAGGGGGTTGGGTGATGAGAAAAGGAGAGCAAGATTATTGCCTTGCATTTCCCATGCCCACCCCCTCCACGTGCAGTACTCACTACACCAGGCACCTCTCCTCACCCACCCCTCCACTCCCTGTACAACACCAGGCATCTCTCCCTACCCACTCCTTCCCTGTAGTACACACACCAGGCATCTCTCCCCATTCATTCCCTCCCTATAGTATACACACCAGGCATCTCTCCCCACCCTGCCCCCTGCTGTAGTACACACACCAGGCACCTCCCCCACCCACTCCTCCACTCCCTGTACATCAGGCATCTCTCCCCACTCACCCCCCAACTCCCTGTACTATACACACCAGGCATCTCTCCCCGCCCACCCCCTCCCTGTAGTGCACACACCAGGCATCTCTCTAGCCACCCCTTCCACTCCTTATCCTATACGGCAGTCCCTCTATGCCCACCCCCACCTCCATTCAGAGTCCCTGGTCCCTGAGTGTGCTCAAGGGCAATGCAGTGCTCAGTGTGGCTCCTGGAGCAGTGCTCGTGTCTGGTCCCCAATGGGGTCGGTACAGAAATGGAGAACACACAGCGAGGAATGTGTTAACTGAGACTGGATCAATGAACACACAGGAAGCGACCCCATCTGTCACTTTAAAGACCCTGCCTATCCATATACCCACCTTCACCCAGAATGTGTCGAAGCATTTAACGTACGGAATTGCTATTTCCCTCATAACCTTTTGTCTATTAAAAAAAAGCCAGCTGCTGTCAAGTTGATCCCAGCTCATGGCGACCACATGTGTCAGATTAGCACCGTCCCCAACAGAGTTTCCAACGGCTGAGCTTTTGAAAGCCGAGCACCAGGACTTTCTTTCGAGGCACCTCTGGGTGGAGTCCAACAACCAACCTTTCGGTTAGCAACTGAGTGTGGTGACCATTTACGGAACCCAGGGCTCCAAAACAAGCTGCTGTGCGGCCGACTCCAGCTCACGGCAGCCCCGTGTGCGTCAGGGTGGAGCTGTGCTCCAAGCCGTTTTCAGTGGCTGATTTTTATGACAAAAGGTGACAGGTGAATAGCGACTTCCTCCACTAACCACCTGGACACCTGTGGAAAATGTGTGTGGTTTTCGCAGCTCTTTTGTCTATGCTTGTCATTGCAGCTACATTTAATCAGATGTCATGTATGTCTGTTGAAATGCCACCGACAAAGACTGAGGCCTGCCTGCATTTTCTGTCAGTTTTTTCACTCCCTTTCCCGTTATTAATTTTCACTGTATTTGACGGACGTGGAGCTCGGAGACCGATGAGAAACGAAGCAGTGACTACTGGCCCTCCGCCCCAGGCAGTTCCAGCAGCGCTGCTGTGGGGAGCAGGGACCCTTCCCGGCCCTTAGCGTCCCCGCTGCGGGGCAGGGTGGGGAGGAGGACAAAGGGAAACTGCCTTGGCGCGTGTACCCTTCAGGCCCCCTCGGGCAGCGAACTCCCACTCCTCCTCCGTGGGCAGCCGTTTCCCCCGCCAGGCACAGTAGGCCTGGGCATCGTTCCAGCTCACGTGCAACACCGGCAGCTCCAGTCTCTCTCGGATGCCAGAGCCAGGACCTGCAGGCTGACGGCCGGGGGAAGGAAGTGAGACACGCTTCTGGGGTCTTGGAAGTGTGAGGAAGGCAAGGTTTAGGGTGCTTGGGTTCAGTGTTTACCACAAGGGGGAGTGAGAAAGTAAAGTTGGGAGAGCGAGTCCGGGGAGGGAGGCGAGGCCTTGGTCTCGGGAGAGACCACACCTGAGGGTAAAGGAAGAAATGGGACGGGGGCAAAGGGGAAAAGTTAGGGTACAGGACGCAGGGCAGCCTGGCTGTTCCGCAAAGTCTCCCCTTCCCCGGGGCGTCCTCTTCAACTCGGTAGTCCCAGTGGGCAGAGGGTCTAGGGAAACCACTTAGCGTCAACGCGGGCAGAAAACTGGGTACGAGAACCAGTCCTTACCTGTCTCCAAAATGCCTTCTCCACAGGAAGCCACCAGAGAAGAGGCTGCAAGAGAGGGACCATGACTGCGAGCAGCTCTGGGCCCCCAAGGCCACCTCCCTAACGGAGGGCAGGAGGCAGGGCAGCGCCTTCAGGCTGAGGCTCAGCGGCCCAGGCGAGGCTGCTTTGAGAGTGGCATCATCACACCACCGCATCGGAAGGGAGCCTATCGAGAGGCTCTCCCGCCAGAGCACCCGGAACCCTGCAGGATCTGACCCTTATCAGAGTCTCTCTCTGGCAGCAGCCAGCCCAGAGTTAAAACCCAAACCAAACCCACTGCCATCAAGTTGATTCTGACTCACAGTGACTGCCACTGGGTTTTCGAGGCTGTAAATTTTTATGGAAGTAGATTCCCTCATCTTCCTCCCTCAAAGCAGCTGGTGGGTTTGAACCGCCAACCTTCTGGTTGGCAGCCAAACGCATTACCCACTACGCCACCAGAGCTCCTTAGCCCAGAGTTAATTTCTCATGAATGATCATTCACTTGACTTTTCTAAGGTGGGTTTCTCTCACTTCCTCCCAGCCTCCAGCTCTCGGATCTCAGCCCCTATCCCAGAGGATTCTCTGTCCAGGTCCCATTCCCACCCCGTCAGCAACAGGCCCAGGTTCTCTCACTTTCATCTGGTAGGTCGCTTTTTTCCTCAGCTCATCGGAGACAAAGTCCTCAAAGACAAAGCTCCATCCGAACGACTCAGCCTCTGTCCGGTACTTGTTCGCCCTGACAAACTCCCTGAGGAAAGACAACACCTGGTTTAGCTGACAGGGTCTCTGCCCCATCACACACTCACACACACACACAGACACACACACACGTGAATGCATAAACAAACTTAGGGTGCATTCATGCATTTGTGCAGTGGAATTGACACAACAATAAAAAGGAACAAACTACCAATACACAAAACAACATAGATGAAATCTTAAAACCATTATGCCAAGGGAAGGAAGCCAGGCTCAAAAGACTACATGCTGTATGAGTCAATGTATGTGACATTCTGGAAAGGGCAAAACTAAAAGGGCAAAAAAAGCTATCAGTGGTTGCCAGAGGCAGGGGGATTTTTTGAGGTGATGGAACTGTTCTGTATCTTGATCGTGGTAGTAACCGTATGCTTTTGTCAAAACTTGAAGAACTATACATTAAAAAGGGTGATCTTTGTGTGTGTGTGACTTGGGTGAAAGTTTACAGAGCAAACTGGTTTTCCATTCAACAAGTCATACCCGTTTTGTGACCCTTCACCAGCTGAAGGACGTCTGGGTTATCGCCAGTTCTGGCAGATTATGAATAAAGCTGCCAAACAGGACACTTGAGGGGATGGGCATCTTCTCAGAAACATCTTCATCCCATCCCTATCTCACAGCAATTACAGGAGCAGGAAGAATGGGTGTTATTATTGCAAACTAAAAAGAATGACCTATGACATTTTTAGAATGGATTTTCAAGTACAGGCAGTCCCCAAATTACAAACCAGTTCTGTTCCTACATCCATCTTTAAGTCAAATGTATATGTAAATTCGAATGGTAAGGTTCAAACTGTATCTAATGTCAGTTAATCAAAATTTCATCTTATTATATAGCATATAGTGTACCTTGCCATGCATAAAAAATATAAAAGAAACACTTCCAGGTACACTAAAACATTTGTAACATAACAGTACAGTAATAACACGCACGTGGCAGAGTAACATCCACCTGTTATTATGACCCATTGTATGTACCGTGAGTTGTTAATGGAACAGGCTTTACTTCACAACTATGGGTTGTATGTCAGTAACTCAGGGACTGCTTGTAGCCTGGTACCATTTAGAAGAGTTCAGCAAGCAGACTGCCTGGGTAAGACAGGTGTCCTTGGGCTAACAGTGGCATGACTGAGAAACCCAGTTTGTCTCAGCCCTCTGATAGGAGAAGATGCTGTTCATGCATCAAAGCGGCTTTCAGAACGAAGGAGGCAACTGAGAGATTTTACAGCATAGTTACTTCCTGATCCTGGAGCAGCCAACAGCCTGAGACTCTCCACCAGAGAGGCAGATGCAAATCATGGGATTCTAAGCAAAGTCAAGGGCTCACTAGAGGCATCCCTGTATGTCCACCACGTTCTAGGTCACAACATGAAATATAAGAGAATGTGTGCTCTGCATCAGCCCAGCGTGCTGCTTCTGGTTGTCGTGATATGGTACGAACACGACCAGAAGTGAGTTCCCTCTGAGGCCAGTGATTTACTAAGCTTCCTGTTTAAAAAGCATGTATGAGCAACATATACTACATTGTAGGCAAAGTGGAGAACACATAGCTAAGTAAAAAGAAAACAATTAAAAGCATTCATTATTTTAAAAGACGGGAAAAGAACATCCATCTTCACACCAATTAAAACATACATCCTTCCAGGTTCCTTTTTTAGGTATATTAAAAAAAAAGTCACTGCTTTCAAATCGATTTGGACTCACAGCACTGCTGTAGAACGGTGTAGAAATGCCCCATGGGGTTCCTAGGCTGTAATCTTTACGGGCACAGACTGCCTCATCTTTCTCCCAACCAGCAGCTGGTGGGTTCAAATTGCAGACCTCCCGTTGACAGCCGAACGCTTAACCACTGCACCATCAGGGCTCCTTTTATGCACGTATGTTCTCTCTCTCTATATATATGTCTTTAAATGGGATTATAATATAGTTTTATAACCTGTTTTGGTGGTGGTGTTTTTTCTTTGCTTAACATAACTCTTCAACCACAACATTTTTAATGGCTGCTAAGCAGTCTGTGACAATGACATGATATGTTTCAGTGATCCTTAAACTGTCATCTTCTTAGCTAAAGGCTCTTGCACAACCTTCATTCTTTCTCTACGACAAATCCCTAGAGGTGGACTACTGATCAAAGGGCCTGAGAACCAGGCTAATAAGCCCCAGGCTTACTTCAGTCTGTGTCTACTCAATCAGTTTTTTCCCTCAACTTTGCACTTCGAAAAATTTTAGGTCTACAAATTTAACACTTTCTCACCTTTACTTTCTTGTTATCTCTTTTCCTCTGGACCTTGTGAAAGTCAACTACAGACCCCTTCTGAACCGTGTTTTCAGTTTTAGCTTCCCCAAAGCTGCTAGCCTTGGGGAAACTGAAAAAGCTGAACATGGCTGGGAGCCATGGAGCCGGAACCAAAACCTCTGAAAATAATGGCCTTTCTCTGAACAAACATGACAGAAATTTCAGGGACGTCTTAGTAAGTGGCCCTCTACAAGTATATGACCTTCCGTCTGCTCCCTTCGCCCTGGAAGAAGAGCTCTCTATTCACTGCTTGATCTTCTGCCCATATCTCTTAGTGCTGTGCCCAGTGTAGTGGAAAATGCACTGGGTCAAGTGGAGGGGATGTGAGTTCCTGGCCTAGCAGCTCTGTCACTGAGCCACTTAAACCACTACGGGTTTCTGATTCATCTTTGAAACAGCAACACTGCTTTGTTCCACAGGCACTGCAAAGATGACCCAAATAAAAGGCAAGCTCACTGCCATCCAGTCAATTCTGACTCAGAGCAACCCCCACTGGGTTTTCAAGGCCGTCAATCTTTACGGAAGCAGACTGACTCATCTTTCTTCTGTGGAGCAGCTGGTGGGTTCTAACCACTCATCTTTCAGTTAGCAGCAAAATGCCATAACCAATGCAGCAGCACCAGAGCTCCTTATTGCAAAGATGGTATGTGATAACAAGCTACTTTCTTTTTAGATATCAGGGATGAAGACTACAAAGAGCCATGACTCCTCCTGGAAGAACACTTGATGTACCTGAAGTCTTTGTTGGTGACAGGAAATATGTCAATGGCAAAGGGTTTTACGGTCACCTCCCGGACAGGCCCTTCACCGTCTCTGCCATCTGGAGAATTTGTTCCCATCTGAAACCTCCCACCTGGCAGCTGGACCATACCGGCAATCTGTCCATTCCCTGCAGAGAAAAAAGGAGTCGCTGGTAAGACATGCATGTCCATAAAACAAGTGACAGTATGTCCACCATAGAAAATATTCATAATGGAGCAATTAAAAAAAATGGAGGTTTGAAAGTCTGGTTTTAAATACTGATTAATGCTACTTAATTTGTTGGGTGAATTCAGGCAAATGATTTCATCTGAGTCTCAATGCCTTCATTTATAAAATCAAGATAATATCCAAGTATTGTATAGGTAATGCCTGAATGACTTTAAATAATACGTGAAACCTTGGGCACATAGTAGATATCCACCCAACGTTAACTTCCTTCCTCTACCTCTTTATCCCTCTTCACAACAATGCTTCGTCCCAGCTAGGTAATGCAGACATTATACCCTGAAATACATCCAGCACTTTTCTAACTGTACATCTGCCCATACTGTTCCTCCATTTTCTCTCCACTCCACTTCTTGAAATTGTATCAATTCTCACCACTCTATGTTCCAGAAAGGCAGGGACTACAGACGTTTTGTGTTTATCCCTAGTACTTAGCACGAGTGTACAACCATCATTAAACACTTGAGTGAGCAGTCTTCACACCTGCCTTTTTGACTCTGAATTAAAGAACTGAGAGGATCAACCACCTCATTTAACAGGAAGAAACAAAGACCCAAAAAGGAAAAGGAAAACCACTAGTTAGCAGGAGGCAAGACTGGCGCTGAGTGTCTTTACTTCCACCCAGTTCTGTGCTTTTTCCAACATGCCACCATTCTTGTCGGGAGCTCTGGAAGCGCAGTGTCTAAGGCACTTGACTGCTAACCAGAAGGCTGGCGGTTCAAACCCACCAGCCACTCCTTGGAAGGAAGGTTGGGCATTCCTACTTCCGTAGTGATACTGCCTCGGAAACCCAAAGAGGGGTCGCTGTGAGTCAGGGCCAACTCGACAGCACATAACAACAACAACCACCATTCTTGTCGGGGGATGTATTACTTCATGGCATTGTGTTTTCATACAGAACGTTAAGTTCTCTAAGTTCCTCAAAGGCAGTCTAGGTCTTCCTTGTTTGTTTCTCAGGATTATCTTCAGCTGTCTTCTCTCATTCTGACACACTCAAACTTGTTTCTTCCACAGATGGCAAGGAAAAAATGGCAACGGGGGAAATCTCAAAATATTAAAAAAAAAAAAGCATAACCACTCCCTGTACGGACTTTATTTGGATCCTACTTCAACAACTAAAAACTTAAAACATGTATGAGGTAACAAGGGAGATTTGAACACTTACTGGATGGTTAATGATACTAAGTCGTACTGCTAGTATTTTAGGTGGGAAAATGGTCAGTTTTCAAGCCTTTGTCTCGTAAGCTATTTAAGCTGAATGTTTAACGGATAAAATGACCTAAGGCCTGTGTTCACTTCAAAATTATCGCGGGGAAGGAATATTGGGAGGAATGCCGAAAAACAGGATTGGCTATCAACTGGCAACGGGTATGTGTGCGCGAGAAGGGAAAATCGCTTTATTCTTCTCTTTTACGTTCAAAAGATTCCAACACAGTAAGATTTAAAAAAAAAAAAAAAGAAAAAGTACATCACTGGGATAGTTAACCACCTCCCCGCTGGCCGCCGCTCAGACGGCCTCCAGCCACTCCCAGGCCCGGCAGGGGGCCGCGGCCTCTTTCCCCTCCACGGCGGAGCGCCCCGCGCCTTCCCTGGTGTCTCCTGAGGGAAGTGGGACAGTGGGAGGCAGCCGGGTCAGCACACTGACCTGGCCACGGCGCGAACAGCACCGGCAGCAGACACAACGGTGACAGCGAGGTGCCCATGACTGTACGCAACCCGGAAGCACAACTGCGGGTCACGCAGCACGAGAGTCAGCGCGCGACCACGCCCCTCGCGCACTACGTCGCAGCCAGCTCGGCGCACGCGTCGCACTGCGCCCTTTTGCGTTCTCGGGCGTTCAGAATGAAGGCCGGTTATCTTGGGAAAGACCTATTTACTTGCCTTACACAGTTCACTGTACTAGCAAGCGCAACCATGCCTGTGCTTACTTGCTTCCTGGGTACAAGACTAGACCCAAACCCCTGTCAAGGATTGTAAATTTGAAGAGGTTTGATTCTCTAGGAAGGGTTGGGGGAGACAACCATGCCAGCTATACTAAGCAAAAGCAAGCCTGTGCTTACCTCGCTTATATTCAGTAATACTGCACTGGTGCATCAGAGAGGCTTCTGAGAGTGCAACTTGTGGAACCAGGTAATTTAAAAGGCTGGTGTCTGAAGACCTCTGCCCTTCCAGATGCCTCTTCAATACCTTGTGATCATAGGGACCGTTTACTCTCAGATTCAGATCTGGCAGGCATTAAACCATCGCGAGACCAGAGGAAAGGTTCCAAGGAAATGTTTATTGCACTGGTTGTCAGCAGCTGCAGTCTTTACAATACAAAGCTACAGAAGACCCACATACACCTTTCAAGTAACACACAACTATATACCAGCTGATGAATTTTGTGGAAACAGGAGATGCAACTGTTTGGATGAGAAAATGTTGAGACTGAAGGGCTTGGGATGAACCCTCAACATAAGCAAACGCTAGCATGAAGATACAGTCAGCCTGAATCTCCACTAACCTAGCTTCCTTGGTCACCATGCCTTCAGCCATCATCTACCTCTGTCCCCTTGATTGCCATTCTCCATTTTATACAGGTAGCTAGCACTCACTTGCCTCCACTACACCCATCTTTCCACCTACTAGAGGATAAACACACCTCACTTTCTAGGGGTGAAGAGGGGACCAGCAAAGGTACTTCAAAGGTGAGAAAAGTCTAAAGGAGCTAACAACTGTACTTACAGGAGTCTATACTAAAAGAAATAGAGACACTTTAAAAGACTTGTAGCTTAGGTATTTGTATTAGGAAAATTTAAAACTTAATGCTCTGTACAGAGCTGTTGGATAAATTAAATACATCTATGAGAAATTAAGCCATTAAAATTTGGTTTTGAAGGCATATTTATTAACAAGATAGGTAACATATGCTTATCTAACATGTGATTTCAGGCCACTGCAGCTAAAGGAAAACAACCTTTTAAGTTTGGTGAGTAAAAAGACTGCTCTATGTGTACACTTCAGTGCAATTAAAAAATACTGTAATTGTAATTTCAGAACTTCAGAATTTGAGTAGGTGACAGCGATCTCCTGTTTCAATGGGAAAAGAAAGTTCCTTTGAAAATCATCTGCAGCTGGGACAAAATTCCATTGCTATATTCTTAGGATCATTCTGTAGAGTCTTCCCGATTCAGAAGATACAAGGGAAGCTTCAATTCAGCCTTTTAGAGAAGACATTCCAGCTCTCATGATCTCATCAACCAGGAGAATGTTGGTGGCAATCACAGTGCTGAAAGAGGGGAAGCCAGATGGGTCAGATCTGAGATACAAACCCCATTCAACTCGTCTTCCCTTTCCCAACTAAACTACATGCATTACATCCAATTTCATTTCCCTTTCCCCCACCACAGAGGGTTAGTTTTATTTTTATACTTTTGGTTTACATTTTTATTGGGGGGTGGTGATGACAACTGTAACAGGACATAACCTACAGATTATTCTCATTTTGGCTTTCCCAAACTTACCAGGAGTGAAGCAGCTGTTTCTTCACACAATAGTTATCCCATATGCCTGCCTGTGCTGCCACCATTGGCTCACCTGAGAAGTAATTGTGTCTTGTTAATACCACATACACCACGTCCAGATCAGAATGCTGGTATACTCATTACTGATGTTGTTAGTAACTATTCTGTTGTTAGTAACTATGAGAATCCCATAGCTCCTACAGTCCCATTTTCTCTCCAAACCATCGACGCCTGTCCCCATCTTTGATGAGTGGCTGTCTTAGTTCTCTTCTTGTCGTTAGGTGCCATCATCTCCGACTCATAGCAACCCTACGTACAACACAACGAAACAATGCCTAGTCCTATGCCAGCCCCGCAATCCTTATTGTACCTGAGTCCATCGTTGTAGCCACTGTGTCAATTCATCTTGTTGAGGGCCTTCCCCTTTTTCATTGACCCTCCACTTTACCAAGCACGATATCCTTCTCCAGGGAATGGTTCCTTCCTACAACATGACTGAAGTAGGCGAGATGAAGTCTGGCCATTCTCGCTTCTAAGGAGCACTCCGGCTGCACTTCCTCCAAGACAGATTTGTTATTCTTTTAGCAGTCCACGGTACTTTCAGCATTCTTCACCAACACAACTCAAAAGCATCGACTCTTAACTCGGTCTTCCTTATTCATTATCCAGCTCTGACATGCATATGAGGCGACTGAAAATACTATGGCTTGTGTGAGGCACACCTTATTCTTCAAGAAGACATCTTTGCTCCTCAGCACTTGAAAGAGGTCTCTTACAGCAGATTTGCCCAATGCTATATGACATCTGCTATCCTGACTGCTGCTTCCATTGGTGGTGATTGTAGTATCAAATAATATAAAGTCTTTGACAACTTCAATCTTTTCTCCACTTATCATGATGTTGTTTATTGGTCCAGTTGTGAGGACTTTTGTTTTCTTAATATCGAGGTATAATCCATACTGCATACTGCAGTCTTCCGTCTTCATCAGTGTTTCAAGTCATCCTCACTTTCAATGAGCAAAGTTGTCATCAGCATATTGCAGGTTGTTAAAGAATCCTCCTCCAATCCTGATGACACATTCTTCTTCATACAGTCCAGATTCTTGGGTTACTTTTCCAGCATACAGAGTGAATAAGTATGGTGAAAGGATACAACCATGACGCACTCCCTTCTTGATTTTAAACTATGCAGCGTCCCCTTGTTCTGTTCCAATGACAGCCTCCTGATCGATGTACAGGTTCCTCAAGAATACAATTAAAATCTTCTGGAATTCCCATTCTTCTCAATGTTATCCATAATTTGTTATGACTGACACAATCGAGTGCTTTTGCATAGTCAATAAAGCACAAGTAAATATCTTTCTGGTATTCTTTGCTTTCAGCATGTATTATTTTAACAGAAATACCACCAAGAGGATAAGTAATAAACAGAGCTTTACTCTCTTACAGTTTCAGAGGTCAGGAATCTGAGTTCAGAGTGCCATCTCTGAGGAAAGACATTATGTGTCTCCTCTGCAGGGGGATCCCAGCACAGTGACCCTAGGTCCCAAGGACACACTATGCTCTTGGCTCCTTTCTTGGTGATACTTGGTGCCCCTTCTCTCTCCTTCATCTAAGATAAAAAATGTTGCAGGCCACACCCCAGGGAAGCTCCCCTTATGTCAGATCTGGGCTATGATGCAACTAAGGGTGCTCTAACCACCTTTAACCTTAATCCTTTCACACTTTCAGATCACAACACGGGGTATCTTTTATCTGTCTGCCACATGACATCATTTCATAATTTCTAAGCCACTGAGAATCACGGCCCAGCCAAGCTGACACAGATTTTGGAGGGGAGTGGGGGCGATAAGGGAGTATGAGACCCAATTCAATCCAGGACAATGGCTAACTCATACCTGGAAGGAATAAAGCAGCTCTCTTTGATCACGAAATGTTGGACTCTCCCGAGTTACCTCATCTCCACTTTGCATAATCTGTGTCAATACAGGAGCCTATACTAAGACCTGGGCTTTAAATTTTACCTGCTTAAATGTCATTAGATTTGGTCTCCTCTTTTGACACTATTTGCTATTCTCAGCCTTCTCGACCCATGAATATTATGCCCTATTTTATCATCACATCCCTGATTAAAAAATGAACTAAGGCATGCCCACTATGACAACCTGTACCACCTACCAAAACCCAGCCATGCCCCCAACAAATCTGTTTTTTCAAATTACTCAAATATCTACTCTCTTAAGTCCAACATCTACCCATCCCATTTTCAGATGTATTTTATTCCAATTTAGATCCCAAAGTTCCCTGATAGTACTGGTGCCAAACTGCAAAGCCACTCTCCAAGATTCTCTGTCCCCATTCCTGACTGTCCCAAGCATTACACTTCACCTGCACTGTCTAATTCTTCCCTTACAAATAGCTGGATTATCTTACCTGTGTTCAAGTCTACACCCACAAGTTGACCGGATTCTGAATGTTCTGCTTGAACTTTTACTAGTGTTTCCTGAAGGTCAAAGCCAGAGTTCTGAGCTAGAACCTGAAGCAAACAAATGTAATCTTTGAAAAGACACGACCAAGTCTACGACCAACAGTACCTATAATTAACAAAGTGTGAAGGCAGAACCAGTTCTGATAGCCAGAGAATAAGGAGACTTGTATGATACTGACCACACTCCATCCCACTCTAAACTTAGCGATACACAGGTCATAAACTATACCTCCACATAAACATACAACAGGAAATGATGATACTTAGTGGACTATAATAAAAATATTAACAAACTTATACTTAGTGTAACCCCATACATCATGAGCCCTCTTAAAATACACTTCTCTCTCTTGCCACTTGAAACTTCCTTTCCAGAGGGACCAATACATCTGCACGGTCAGGAAGAAAACCAACAATGCTTATCCCAAAATCCACACCACAGCACAGTGTAGAACACTGACTGTTTTAAGATTCACACCTTGGGAATAATGAGCAACGCATCAGCAAACGCCTGGACGCCAAGCTGGGCTCTGCCCTTGATGCTGGGCTTGTATTTCATCAGCGCTTCGGCCATTGCCACTTCCACTGCACCGGCCCCTGGAACCACACAGCCTGTTGAGGGGAGATGACAAATGCTAAGCTGCAAAGAAAATTTAACAACATACATCGCCAACTCATTCATCTGCTGAGAGCTCACAAGGACCACAGTGATTTAAACCTTGTGTTTGGAAGCCCTATACGAGCAACCAGCAATCAAACAGCAAGAAGAGCTCAACTCAACCAACAATGAGCAGCTCTGGCCAGTTGTTATTTCACTTGTTTGTATTCACCTTTAATTATGGTATGCCATGAAAAAAACCTCAGCATACATCATCAATATTTTAAAGGGAAGACGACGCTTTGGCATGGTGTCTGGCTGTGTAAATTACTGATAAAAAGAACACAGTATTCAGCCATGCCTTTAGATTAGGAACAAAGGTACCATCTCAAAGGGCACTGGATTATTCCACGATACACTGAAGAGATTTCAGAGTCAGGACAGTGAGGACCTTACCATCATCAATCGCATTTTTGACAGCCCTCAAGCCGTCTCTTATCGCGTCTTTGATTTGGGTGAGTGTGTGCTTATTGGGTCCTTTGACCAACAGTGTGACAGAGCGGGGGTTACTGCATTTCTCAATAAAGGTGAACTTTTCTTCTCCCTGTGTGGAGAAGAGACATTATTTCCAAAACGGGATTTAGCTGTGAAGTGTGAACAGGGTGGGGGCTTATGAAAAAAAAAAAAAAGGTAGGTGGAATATTAACAGAATAACGTATCACATTAAAGCAGAATCTTCTAAAAAGTCACATATAAAAGAAACATAATATTACTGCCAACAGTGTATTATTACTACACATAAACCATCAAAATGTGTGTGAATAAAGCAAAAGCTAATCCCAAGTATGAATGAGTTTCACTACTGAGGAATTCATGAATCTTCAGGAAGACAACACACTTACCAACGTGTACTCATAGACCAGTCCTGCATGTCCCAAACAGTCAGGGTTTAAGTCATCTAAAGAATTTAGAGCCACTCCGCCACAGGCAAGTGTCAACCTATAATGTGAACATTTTAAACGATGCATTATCAGTATCATTAATTACAGTCAAAGAGAGGATTTTTGGGAAGCAATCTTGTACAGACAGACGCTATAATTCTATTCTACGATATAACTGTAGAATTATACACTCCGACGCAAGACAAGACCACCCACTCTCAGCCAGCTGAAATCTGGTGCCTTCTCATAATCACTGCCTGTAGACACCACCATGAGAGAGCAAACACTCCCGAGACCCCAAGGGCGCGGTGTGCAGCGATACTTAGCATCAGCGATACTTAGCATCATGCACTTTGATTTTTGAAGAAGTAACACAACATCTGTTTGAAAGTCACCAGTGAAGCAGGCCTGAACAGAGGTGTTCCTGCCAGCCTCCAGCAAGTTTAAGAGAACTAATGTCAGCAGGAAGGTGGACAATAACCCTTCCTGGTGATGAGCCCTTAAGCAGAAAGGATTTCTCTAAACCTCCGTTGTTAGCCTCCTAAGAAAAATATGTACAGATTGTGTCACAATTAAAAATTCAGATGGGAATACGGAATACTGTCAACTGAACTGCCACAAGCGCGACGCCTGTCATTCAGCTAGGCTTCCATCGTACCTCTCCATGTTTCTCCGCTTAGCTCTGCGCAGAGCTACTATGCCTTCTTTCGCAAGGGCATCTAGGGAAAAAGGGTCAATTCCCTAGAACAGATATAAAATGAGTTTCAGTATCTTGCACCTTAAAATGAAAAAAAAAAAAAAAAAAGGAAGCTACGAACGATTTAGTTTGGCACTTTCATCCTCACACACCTTCTGATTAATAACAACAAATCCTTTATGAGAGTCACCACAAACTTTCCTCTTCAGCTCCACTATTTTTTTAACTCTGTCTTCGATGAATTTTCTCTCAGCTTTTACAAGCTTCTCTCTCTCTTCTGCACTCTTGTAAAAGAAGCCAGAGTTCACTTCTCTATTAAAAAAGAAAGCAACACCAGAAAGAAAAAATGGAGTCTCATAGATAGGTGAACCTTGAAAACACCACACCAACTAAGTCAAGTCAGACAAACAGGATGGTTTCACTTACATGAGCGGAGGTTACCAGGGGTTGGGGTGAGGGAATAGGGACTCATTGCTGAAGGGGCCTGAGTTTCTGTTAAGTGATGACAAACTTTTGGAAACGGACAACAGTGATGGTTGTGTAACACGGTGACTATAGTTAAAGTCACCAAATTTAACCCTTGAAATGATTAAAATGGCAATTTTTGTATGTATCTATTTATGCAAAATACAATGTTTTAAAATTAAGGTGACAGGCTGGGGGAAATGCTGAACAGTGTTTTTGGAGTAGACTGTAAGGCAGCAACATCAGCCAGTGGGTTCGTCTTGCAGTTTCAGACACTGAGCTCCTGTCTGACCGGGCATGTTTTCAGGGGTCATTTCCTCTAATGCTCTCATACCCACCTGAAGCGTTCCTGTGCTGACACTGGGTAATGTCCCAGAGAACCGAACTGTATACAGTACCAAGCTCCTCTACCCCCGGCCCACAGTAAGGGCCGTAGACTCACGTTTTTTCATATTCTAACGACACGTTGCATGTGAGGATGTGGGCGTCTTCTACTCGTTTCTTCATATCAGGGTGCCGTGCACCATGGTCCAGAACAAGCCCTCTGACTAAGCTGTTAATAAATAAATAATACATTTCAAAAACAGCACTGTTACCAATATACTAAATTGAGACTACTGCTAATTGTCACACGTTCAGCTTTATTTTTGATTATCTGAACAAAACGTGGGCAGATTCACATGTTTAGAACATGTGAAAAATCTGTATTCCAGAGCATGACCACAAATGCAAGCAATCCAAACAGAAGCTACCCACCTTCTGTCACACAGAAAATGCTACAGAGACACTGTCTCAACCAGCAGGCTTCACACTGGGGTCACTTTTTAAGAACCTGTGCTAACCATGCAATCCTCAGACTATGAGACAAGCAGAACTAGATGGTGTTCAGCCACCACTGTCAACCACGAGGAGGGGGATCTATGTAGGAGATTCCAGATAGAGTGGGAGAACAACGGGGAACAAAACGAAAAATTGAAAAAAAAGGGGGGAAAGGTTTGCTTGTCTGATAGAGCCTTGTGTAACCCGAGACTATGGCCCCTAGCTGCCCTTCAGGTCTGGAACTGAACCCACTCCTGTGACTTCCAGCCAAACAAAAGACAAGCATATGAGCTGAACATTTACATTAGGTAGATATATTCCTTGGAGAGAGCAATCAGAGTAGAAGGGCTGTGTCTGCACAGGGAGATAGCTGGGGCGCGGGGGGAGTGCATGGGAGGGAAAGGACACAGGGAAGAGGTAGCTATGGGGAGGAAGTGGGAGGGGAGTTTGCAGTCAATATCATGAGACAAAAGTGTATGTAAACGGCTGTATGGAAAGTAAATTTGCTCTGTAAACTTTCACCCAAATCACAATAAAAAAGAAAAGAAACTGTTCAAACTAGGCCTTTCAAAAACAAACAAACAAAAAAAACTTTTAATTCATATCTGTCTCCCATGACGCTTTGACTGCAATCAGTTGAATAAACACCCAATGACTGAATGATCATTTCAATCACGAACCTTACTACCATTCATGTCATTTCAGAAAGACATCTTAATAAGAGATAATAGAGTATTCATGAGGCAATATACCTGATCCAAAGATAAATCAGTGAAAAAACAAGTCTGAGCCACTAGCCAGTCCCTAGCTGTGGGATCAGCATCTACAGCAGCACTCTTCCACTTACCTTGTATCAGTTTCAGATTTATGTTTCATCTCCATGATTTCAACCATGAACAGGTCAATAGGTTCATCTGGTTTTTTAATGGCCAAAATGGAGTCAACTACAGCCTATGAGAACAAGTGATTCAGAAGTTTAGGGTAGAGTTTCTTGACTTTAACACCTCTCAAGTCTCTACGTGGTAACAGGGTGTCACCTGTACAGGCTGAAGTCATTAACCTGTCTGCAATCTGGTCACTTGTAATTCCCCAAAGAATCTCTTACATCCCTCCTGCTAGTTTATTAAAAATGCTGATCACACAAGGTATTTTAATAAACTCTCCGTTTTATACTTTCTAATGAATGCTTCAATTATATTTATAGCACCCTGCAACTGGAACTGCTTGCTAAGTGCAGGGATGTTTCTGGTATTAAAGTTTTCCAGTACAGGTGTCTTCTACATTACACACATACCTCTGTTAAGACGTCAGCAAGTTCAGCGTGAACTTTAGTGCGCAGGGATGTTCTGGCCACATCCATGAGTGTTTCTCTGTCCATTTCTTTGCTCACTTTGACTTGTTCCAAAAACTGAAGTGCCTTTTCCTTTGCTGCTTCAAACCCTTCAGTTATTATTCTGGGATGCAGACCCTAGAATAAACAAAATTACAAAACCACCCCCTCGTGTAGTTGCAACTACGGTCACGATAAAGTCTTGTCATTTTTGACAAGACACTCTGACTCAGTCCCATCCTTTAATTAAAATGTGCTGACCTTTTGAATACATTTAAAAGGATAAACGCACCTTTCAATGCAGAGGAAAAGAACAGACATTGCTCTAGCACAGAGTCAAAACCAAGGGAACTATAAAGTACACTTGGGTGTTCACCGTGCAAACCAGCAGGATTAAATTCCAAACCCAAAACCGTGTCCTAAGAACTTTCAGTCAAAGGTAGCAACAGTCTTGTCTTCAGTAACACCAAAAAACCAAACCCACTGCCACTGGGTCAATTCCAATTCACAGTGACACTATCTAGGACAGAGTAGAACTGCTCCATAAGGTTCCCAAGGCTGTAATTTGTCTCATAACTTGCCCAGGGTAACAATCAATTTCTGTCAGACCGGGAGGAAGACTCCGGTCCTCAGAGTTAAGACCTCAGCCCTCCACCCAAATCACAATGAAGTTTTTTCTTTAAAAGATACCCACTCTTTACATTCTACTATAGCTTATCAACTGCTGTAATGAAACTCAAGAGACTTCCTACACACAACAGAATTCAGAAAGAGCCATGCATACCTCAGATATGTAGAGGTCCGCCTGTTTCAGCAGCTCTCCGATGATCAGGACGTTGGAAGTAGTACCATCACCAGTTATGTCATCCTGGGCTGTTGCTACTTTTGCTATTAAGGAGGCTGTTGGGTGTTGAATTTGCTAAAAGTAGAAAAAGAGGAAAACCGCTTAAATGACTTAAAATAATCAAAATATACATCCAACACAGTATTTGCACAGGGAGATAGCTCGGGGGCAGGAATGCATAGGAAAAAAGGACACAGGGAAGAGGTAACTACAGGTAGGAAGTGGGAAGAAAGCTGTTAGATTGTGGGGAATTGCAGTCAGCATCATGAAACAAAATGTGTATGAATTGGTGCATGGAAAAAGGCTCAGTGAAGGCTTACTGTTCAGAGTAAATGACACTGCTAGCAAGGAACAGTATCATGACAAATGCAACCAACCTCTGACTCATAGAGACCCCTCCTTGGGTTTCCAAGGGATTATCACTGCATAAGTAGATCGCCCAACCTTCCTTCTGGGGAGCAAGTAACAGTAAGGCCTAACAATTCCAAACTCATGCCCAAGCCTCAGGCTCTTTCAAGGATAAGCTAGGTGCCTTCTGAAATCAGAGCGCAGCAGCTCCCAGTATTACAACACTGACCAGACCATTTCACAAGTCCTCTGAGCAAAAACCACCACCAGGTGTGAAATCACTCTGTACAGAGGTTTTTGAAGAACAAGATATTCACCAGGTTTCCAACTTCACCCTACAAGTCTTCATTGCAAAGGATCTGATTAAGGGTCCTGCGAAGCATTTGCTTTCCGCGACACCTTATCCTTCTTTGAGGCGCCCTGATGGTGTAGTGTTTAAAGCATTTGGCTGCTAACCAAAAGGTTGGCAGTTTGAACCCATCAGCTAATTCGTGGGAGAAAGATGAGGCATTCTACTTTTGTAAAGATTTATAGGCTTGGAAATTCTATGGACAATTCTGTGCCCTACAGGGTCTCTATGAGTCGGAATCGACTTGCTGGCAATAGGTTTGGTTTATCTAATTTAGAATAGTTCTCCAGCATATTTATTTTTGGAGACAAATATTCTTAAAAACTTAAGCCAGTCATCTCTCAAATCATCTTATTATCTAAATTTGCTAACATTAAGTATTTTTGGCAAGAATTCTACACAGATGTCATTGTATTCTTCTCATTGTGCAAGGCATATAATGTCAAATGAAAGATCTTTCTGTCCGTAATATGGGAAAACAATGGCAAAGAGTTATAAAGAACATTTGAAGGGGCAGTGGTGAAAACAAATATGGACTCTGTATTAGACAATACTGTACTGATGTTAAGTTTCTTATGTATGATAGTATTCGGCAAATCTGGTTAAGGGCATGTGGGTGTTCATGTGCCCATATCATTTTTCAGCAACTCTAATTTCTTGAGACTGAAGAAAGATGAGGAGGGACTTCTGAGCCGGTGTACTGCTTTCTTAGCCAAGTTGGTGGTTACATATGTTCAGTTTAAAGTTATACATTAAACTGTAAATGTTTTCTGTGTCTCTTTATTTTTTTATATTTCAAAGTAAAAAGAAAATAAACCTGTAACCACGCGATGGCAGATTTTTATAAAAGTTGTGTGTAATAAAATGTGCTATGTAGATAGGACTTTTCTGACTGACCTCAAGTTTAAACTAACCGTGACTCCCATTAAGGAGCTCTGGTGATGCAGTGGTTAAGGCACTCAGCTGATAAACAAAAGGCTGGCAATTCAAACCCACCAGCCCCTCCATGGGAGAAAGATGAGGCAAGCTGTTTCTGCCTGTGGGGCAGTTCTACTGTCTTGCAGGGTCGTCTGGAGTTGGAATCATTCAATCCTAGTTAGTTTTTTATGTCTCCAATTGATCCCTGTTAGTCCATTAAAAATAAACAAATTACACCTTCTAGATTAGCTGGCCCCTACTGCAGATATTTACAAACATCTGGATGTTGATGGCATAGAGTACTACTATCAAAATCCTAAATTTATTCTGAACTGAATCCACAGGCCCGTTCATTTCTTCTTTCTATATCTGAACAGATTTTAAGAACTCAAATGATTAGATGCTTGTCTTAATAACCTCATATTCGAAGGTCATTTGCCCATCAAATGTGTCCCTCACTCCTCGTTTTTTCAGGTTTGATTATAATTAAGTTTCATAATGACAATCCCTAAACTGCTATTATCGATAATAAAACAGCAAGGATTCGAACTTAGGAGGGTCTGGCTCCAGGCTCACCACTATTGTCCTGTTGGTATCATTACTGACCACACCTTTTCTCTTCCATTTCCTAAAATATTCACGCCCTGCGAATATATTTTCTCCTAACTTATGAATGGACATTAGGGAAAATCACGCAACTTCGGACGCAAAAGCGGTCTCTCACCATCTCATGAAGCAGCACGTTGCCATCCTTAGTAAGCTTGATGTCTCCAGCACCAGAAACCAGCCTGTTCAATGGGCAGAAAGGAAATCAGTGTGATTTGTTTTTCCTCCACCAACGGAGATCAAAAATAAATGTCACATAAAAAGCGAGCTTTTCCTAGATTCCAGGGGCTGGGGCCATGAGGCTAAATCTCTCTCCCACGTCAAGCGAACAGTGCAGTGCCCGTCTCTTCCCTCTGAGAAAGTGCGCCGAGTCCTCACTATGGCTGCAAGCAGGAGGGTGGGGAGCGCGGCGCACGCGGGCAGCTTTGTTCTCCGCGTAAACTGCACCGACTACAGAAGAAATGGCTGGGCAGGAGGGCTCGGCGCGGGAGAGTGTGGGAGAAGGGCCGCGGCGGCTACGCGGAGCCGCGGAAGGACCCATTTGCACCCCCGGCCCGCAGCGCTGCCGCGCCGCGGGGCGCGCGACGCAAGGCCCGCCGGCCAGACCTCCCGCTAGCCCCGGCTTACATCTTCATGGTGCCCTTAGGCCCCAGGTTGGTCCTCAGCACGTCCTGCAGCCCCCGAGCCGCGCTAATATTGACCGCCAACGCCGCCTGGGCTCTGGCCACCTCGGCCTTGGGGTTCAGGGTCTTCACGGCCGCCATGGTGGGCCCAGTAGAGAATAAGGTGGAGAGCCGGCGTGCGGAAACCCCAGAGCCGGCTCAGCGTGGCAGGGAGCGATAATCTGAGCCCTTCTGGAAAAGTCGGCCGCGCCCAGCCCGCCCCCAGCGTGCCTACGCGCCGCCGCCATTGGGTGGCCGCTCTGCCGGGCCCGCTCATTGGGCCACGAGGCTGGAGTCCCGCCTCCCCGCGCCCGGTAGAAGCGCCGTTGCGTCCTGGCAGAGCGTGAATCCGGCAGCCCTGAGCCCCAGGGTTTCGGTGTGGCGCTCTCCTCAGCTCAGCTTGGCGGACCCGGACTTGAGGAACAGGCAGGCGTGTGTGCGGGCTCCCCTTTGCGAGGCAGGCCGGGCCGCACTCGCCTGGGCGTGACTGGAAGCGTGCATCCGTTTCTTGAAGGACTCTTACTGTAGGATGGGCTTCCGATGGGTTTCCTCCCGCCCTTCACTCATTTTGCCCTCAGTTTCCTTCCCCTGGTTCATTTATCCCTTTCACCAGACTTGCCTTAAAGACTACCCCAACCTACAACGGGGTTGAGGTTCCTTTCCGACTGTTCGAGCGTGTGTCGGTTCTGATGTAAGTCGAATACTTATTTTTTTTTTAGTTTTCATTATTGCCTTTTATTATCACATTATAAATCCAATCTTTATTTGCTTTTAGGGGTTGGAAACATTTCATTTAAACTTACAGATATATTTTCATACCTATGTACATTTAAAAATACACAAATCATAAAATTTACTGTGTCAATGAAAAGGAGCAGGACCACAACATTGGCATTTTGTCAGTTGCTGTAATAATTCCGTTTGTGGAAGGTTCTGGATCCTCTGGAAACTCCGTGAGAATGGGGATGTTGTTTTTAATCAGAAAATGAGAGTTGTCCATTTGGTCTTTTTTTTTCTTTATGTCTTTGGTGGTAACATCTCTCTGCTTTTTGAATCTGCCTGTTGGCTTGTGAGCAAAGTCATCAGCGTTTTTTCCCAAGCAATTGAAGCCCCTGACTTAGTTTGTTGTTGTTATATGCCGTCAAGTCGGACCCGACTCATAGCAACCCCTCCTTGGGTTTTCGAGGCAGTATCACTGCAGAAGTAGATTACCCCATCTTCCTTCCGAGGAGTGGATGGTGGGTTTGAACCGCCAGCCTTCTGGTTAGCAAAGTCAAGTGCTTAGCCACTATGCTACCAGAGCTCCCCTGATTTAGTTTAGAAATCCCAATATATAGGACAGTGTTATGAACAGTAAATCATAAAATTGAAGATCCTGGGAATGAGCAATGCCAAATTACACATTGTGACGTTTTACGTGGTAGATATTACTATTCTCTGTACTATTATTTTGTACAATAAAATGCATCAGGAAAAAAAAAAAGCAGGTGGTGGTAAGTGCTTTTGATGTAACTCAGATATTGCTAATTTGGGGAGTACCTGTATTGAGAAGTGTACCTGATGAAAACCTTCACCCAGAACAAGAGTGTTTTAGGCCTTGGGAAGATGAAGACATAATCATGCAAGCCAGCAAGTGCTAGATGCCTTTAGAAAGCTGTGGATAGTGGTACTGGCAGTTGGGAAGCCAGAATTGGTCCACCCGTGAAGACTCAGACCCTCTGCTGAGGCCTACGCACTCTCAGTGCAGGTTTGGAAACTTGAAACTTGAGCTGTGGTGTCCATCCTTTGAGATACTCCTTTTTTAGTTTAAAAAAATTCTGAAAAATATGCACAATTTCTGCTTTCTAGTTTCCATCCCCCCAAAACCAGATGTTAGTAAGATTTTCGTGTTTTATTGTTACTAGATAAGAATGAAAACTACTCAGAATTTAAAAGATGTCAAAGGATGGAGAAAAAATTAAGTCTTCCTCTCTCTCCCAGCTCAAGCACAGTGACCTTCAGATACCCAGAATACCCCAGATACTTTCTGAATTTGCAAACATATGTATGTGTGAATGCAAGTATTTTTCTCACACAAAATGGCAAATCATAATACACACTGTTCGTTGACTTTCTTTTCTAAGTGTCTTGGATATTGTGGCATATCAGTGCAAATAGGGACATTTTGCACATTTGCTTGCAGTTAGGGGGAGGGGAGAGTGGAAAGGCTTCAACTTCATCAGGACCCAACTAGAGTAAGGCAAGTGAAGCACTTGCCTAGGCTGCAGAATTTAAGGGACAACTGAGTAATTGAGTTTAGTAATTTTTTTTTTATATATATATTCTTTTTTATTTTATTTATTTTTTAAATTTTATTTGGGTGAAGATTTACAGAGTAAATTCACCTTTCATACAGCAGTTCACATAATATGAATTTAGTAATATTTTAATGCAATAGTTTGCAGAAAATAATGTGAAAAATCCATGATGAACAAATAACCTGATTTTAAATTCAGCATCACTACTAGCATCATAGGAGCTCTGGAAGCGTAGTGCCTAAGGCACTTGACTGCTAACCCAAAGGCTGGGAGTTCAAACCCACCAGCCACTCCTCGGAAGGAAGGTTGGGTAGTCTACTTCCGTAGTGATACTGCCTCAGAAACTCAAGGAGGGGTTGCTGTGAGTCGGATCCCACTCGACGGCAGTGCATTGCATTTGTTGCGTTACTAGCATCATACCAGGCATTAGAGTTCTCAGCAAAGCAGAAGGATCCACCCAGAGCAAAGAAGAGTGAAGAAAATCAAAGGTGCAAGGAAATGGTTAGTACAAAGGACTAATGGACCATGTGAGCCCCAGAACCCGAGCCTCTACGACCCTGAGACCAGAAGGACTAGATGGCGCCTGGCTACCACTGCTGAGTGCTCTGAAAGGGATCGGAATAGGAGGTCCTGGAGAGAGTGGAAGAAAAATACGAAATCTTCGAGACTATGGCTATTAGACACCTTTCAGGCCTGGGACTGAACTCGCCCCCATGGCCCAGTTTTCAGCCAAACATAAGGTGAATAATAGCACCAGGGAGGAACACACTCCTTAGAACAATCAACCCAGGAGATCAAAAGGGCAGCTTTTGCCCAGGACAAAAGGTCTATGAATTGTTGAATGGAAAACCAACATAGGCTCACTCAAATCACAATATATATATATATATTTAGAAAAAGATTAACATCCCTGTAAAGGAAATTTGTTTGTACATATCATTCTACTAGTCTCAATTATCACATTTCTAAGAATATTAACACTTATGGTTAAATTGATTCTTTTCATTATGTGACACAAAATAGTAATAAGGAAACGTCTGCAGTGCCTGGGTGGTGCATATGGTTAAGTGCTGGGTTACTAACCCAAAGGTCATCAGTTCAGACCCACACAGAGGGGCCTAGAAGGTGAGGGCTGGAGATTTGCTCCCAAGTGATCCCAGCCTTGAAACCCTATCCAAAAAACCAAACTCACTGCCATTGAGTCGGATCTGACTCATAAAGACCCCTCCTTGGATTTCCAAGGCGGTATCACTATGGAAGTAGATTGCCCAATCTTCTTCCAAGGAGTGGTTGGTGGGTTTGAACCGCCAGTCTTCCGGTTAGCAGTCAGATACCTTAGGAACTATACCATCAGAGCTCCCCCTTAAAACTCTATAAGCACTTCTGTCTGCACACATGGGGTTGGCATGATTGAGAATCAACTGGAAGGCAAGTAACTACCACTAACAGGAACATAGCCTATATGCTAATAATGTTTGTAGGGAACAGGGACTTTAAAATGCCTTTTGGAGAATTTCAAACAAAATAACCAAGTGACACCTTGAGAGCAGAAGCATTACAGTCCATGATAGAAGTCGAGGTAGTGGTAGGTGATTAACCACTTGGTTTAGGGGGATGTGAATTAAAAAGAATACATAGTGCCTCAGGCATTTGACTGGTAACCAGAAGGCTGGCGGTTCAAACCCATCAGCCACTCCTCAGAAGGAATGTTGGGCAATCTTCTTCCATAGTGATACTGCCTCGGAAACCCAAGGAAGGGTTGCTGTGAGTCAGATCCGACTTGATGGCAGTGAGTTTGGGTTTTTGGTTGTATCCAGATGACACAACCTTGCTTGCTGAAAGTGAAGACTTGAAGCACTTAATCAAAGACTATAGCCTTCAGCAGTATGGGTTACACCTCAGCAAAAAGAAAACAAAAATCCTCACAACTGGACCAATAAACATCACCATAAATGGAGAAAAGATAGAAATTGTCAATGATTATGTATCCAAGTAAAATGAAATCCTTGACAACTTCAATCTTTTCTCCATTTATCTAATCTAAATGACTTTCTTCTAAGCAGCACACGAACGTAACATAATTCATCTTTAGAAAATTTGTTAGCATATAAAAATGTGATCTATAGAAAACCTTTAGGAATACTAGTAGTACCCATATTTTTAGTAACTAGTTATGATTCATATTTAACAATAGTTATCTAAGATGATAACTTCATTATATAGTATTTGGTTCATGTATGCTATTTAGTATTATTCCAGTAAAAAAAACAGTGGGGCATATTTTCATCTGTTTATACAGTCATGGCTTGTCTGGCAAGATTACTTCCCAATTGTTACATGTATCTATGACCCCCTATTTCCTTTTTCTGGACAACTTTAAAAAAATTATTTAAATATGCTGTGTGTTTTAGCTGCATGTTTACAATCCTGCCATCTTATGGCCACAGGTGTTAGCACAACTGTTGGTGTGAGGTGGATATAAGGATGATGAGCAACTGATGGATTTTTTTTATGTACATATTTTATCTAAAATCTATTTAATACCATTTTTGTTCTGTATTAAACATCTATGAAATATAAGTAGCACAACAGTTCCTCTAGTCATTCTCATTTATTGCATTTAAGCCCCTTTTCCTCTTGAAACAAATTCTCAATTACCATTTACAATTAGATACAAATATTTGATGTTTCACATCTTGTTTCCTTTCTTACACTTATTTCAAAATTACTTACTACCAAATACAATATATACAAGTTCTTGACTAGATTATTTCAGACCCCTTACTTTGTTCCCTCTCATTGTTTAATCTTCGACCTCATTATTTCAAAACATCAAAATTCCTCCCAGCCACCCTTCATAAGAACCATTTCCAGCGAGATGTTAAACTTGGTGGCCCCAGACCTGCAAATATTTTCTTACTAATCAAATCTAGGAATAGTTAACTAAACTTCAAAGCCACATCCGGTCAAAGAGCAT